CTAGCTGGTCAGTGTCGCGCATGAGCAACGCAGCCTAACACGGAAAGGTGCCAGGCGGCGTGGATTATCGATCATGGTCATGCATCTCAGAATCAGTGTTGAGGCCTGGCGACCTTCAGGGTATCCGATTCGCTGAACTGTTTGGAGCTACTGCTCCACCATCTCCGAAATAGCTTCTTGAGGGCTCCATAATGTTACCAGCCTGCAGCGAAAAACCAGTGGTTTCAGGACTGATAAAACTCTCCAGATGGACGTGTCGGCGTTTGATACTTGATACGAGCTTTTCCTATAAAGCTTGTGGTTCTGCTGCAGTCGCTAGTTGCAGGCGATTCCGACGTCAGTGTTTCCGTCTTGATGGGAGTTTTCGATGTTTCCGGTTGCCTTACTGTGGAATCGGACTTGGAATCCGAGAAATCTGGTGCCTCACTAATGTTGACCGTTTCTCGTCTGCTGGAGCGTTCGACTGTGGCAACTTTGTCTGACTTATTAATCACTTTGAAAGGCCCTTCATAAGCGATCGCAAGGGTTTTCTTACGCCGTTGCACCCTATAAAAACGTGAACGCAGTTTGAGATGCATTGAGCTACGTACAATTGGTTGTCTTGGTGTCGTGTGGATTGATGTCGTAGTGCACTCATATTGTGTGGTAGTTATTGGACATAGTTAGTCAAGTCCAGTGAAACGTCTCTTGCCTGCTTAAAATATTCTCTTGGGAATCGTAAGGTAGTCCCACAAACCATCTCGACAGCACGACAGCCAGTGTCCTGCCTGACACTCGAACGTAAACCAAGGGGAACTAGTGGTAACTTGTCGCTCCATTTGTCACCAGTCTCTACCGCCATCGGCACCACTCTTGTTTTCGATGGAATCTTGAGAGAATACTGCTGGGCGCAAGATGCTTCTTAGGCGCTTGATCCCGAGTAGTTCGGTTGGTTGTTGAAGCGGAAAACCGTAGAACTGCGCACCTCTGTCTGTATTGCTGACACTTGGGACACCAAAGTTAGGAGTCCAGTATTGGATGATGTTTATGGTTACTGTTTCGGCATTGACCATCTCATAAAATCTGTCTAAATATGGTTAGTTGTGGCTGAAACTGTTGGCCAGAGGTAGTGATCCAACGTTGTCGGCATGTATATGATCAGATCTACCACCTGGTGAGGAAAATCGCACGGTTGGCCGCTGGCACACTGGACAGGCTCTGGACCACCGTCGAAGATCTCGGTTCATATTTGGCCAGATGTATCGGTCAGTAATCAACTTCACCTTATCTCGAATACCAGGATGATAAGTGCCATGCGTCTTAGGAAAACTAATGCCTCATTGATAAAGGCACAAACGGACATGGTTTACTCTTGGATTCCTTACAGGTGTTGGGTAGAAAGTCACCAAACATCACTTCTACGAGATGCAATGAGGTGTTCACATTGCCTCTCAAGTGTCTCAGGTCCTCACCGTCGCCTGCAGCCTTTCAACTTCTGCTAGGTCGATGTGTTAGCGTTCCAAGGCATTTGTGTGCATACGGGGCAAAGCATCAGATGCCTCACTTTCGTTGTCTCCCATATACCCTGTGTCTGAAGTGAATTACAAAACAAACTCCAAACATCGAACTTCTCACAGAGAATAGTCGCCGGGTTTAATTTGAATTGTCTTTGCGAGTGGCCCGCGGTCAGTGAATACTGCAGTTGCGTGCTCTTCGAGCATATATCTGAAATGCTTGATAGCTAAGTAGATCCCAGAAAACTCTACTGAATGTACTGTATTGCCACTGAGAAGCATTAAGCCGCTTCGAGAAGAAAAATAATGGTTCCCACTGACAATGGAAAAACTGTTGTAACGCTGCGCCCACAGCAACATTCAAGCATCTGTCATGGCTGCTAGTGGTGCCTCCGAATCGCGACGGGGGAGAAGAGTTTCAGAACTAGAGTAAGCTTTGCTTGCTAAAGCACCAAGGGCCGCTCGTGTCATGTGAACCACTATCTCGTCCTTGCAACAAATCTGTCAATGGTTGGGCCACTTCAACACAATCAGGTATGAAGTTTTAATAGAAGCCCATTAACCCAAGAAATCTCAGCTTTCAAAACGAGTCTGGGGCAAGACATATTTTAATTGCGTAACCGGTTTAACACTGTCAGCATCAACAATCTGATTCGAAAACTGTGGGATTTTTTGCCGAATTCCCACTTCCGAGGATTGACTGCAATGCTATATTCACGCAGTAGTTCGTAAAGCGCCCTTAGATGTTGCGGGTGTTCTGTTTCAGATATACTAGCTACTAGTGAGTTGTCTATCTGTGTACTGACAAAAGGTAAGCCATAAGTACCTGATCCATAAGTCTTTGGAAGGCTGTGGCAACATTTTTGGAACCAAACGGCATGGAAATAAATTAGAGTGGTTCGAAACTAGTGATGATCACAGTTTTAGGAACATCATTGGGTTCCACGGTGATACGGCAGTAAGCCCACACGAAGTCAGTCTTAGGAGCAGTACTTACTTCTGTCATGGAGTTCATAAAATCATATGTGTGAAGGACTGGTTATCCATCAGGGCTTTAATGGGATAAAGAAATACATTTCATAACTTCTTGGTTCGAAACATCATAAGGTGTTCCTGGTTGACGCTTCAGCAGCTTATCCTTACTTGTTCAGTACCTTCTTCCGGTAAAGCGGAACTTGTGTATCAGAACTTTTTGCTTTGTGAAGCTATATGACTAGCCAATAAGGAACGTTCTAGGCTGACAAACCAAAACTGCGGGTCATTAAACTCAAAAGAAGGCATAGGAGGACCAGTGGCACCCACGAACCCTAAATTTGGAAAGTCTGAGTATGAGGGTTCTAAGACATCAGTACTGGTACAGCAAAACACAACCATGTCAAGAACTTAGAATAATAAGGGTAGGAAAACTACAACGGACAACTATGTAAACGCCAACCACGAAGCGCCTGGAAATATTCTCGGTATATATATACATATGTATATCCGTATTGTGTACAATTGCTGGTAACTGAAAATAATATTAGTATCTGCCGGTAAAACTTTCAAAAGTTTGACCGCGTCGGGCTCACCAGTTTCTCGATCTGTGATTTCTGACCCCAAATGTATGTCTGCTTCCCGATATACTGTCGCCTATTTGTTATCGACGGTGATGCTGATTCACCTAGGCCAGACACTGTAAACTTCAGGAGATAAAGAGTAGTCCAAAGCAGGATGCTGTATTGACTGAAGAGCCGACAAAAATTTTAGATCAGTACAATTAAACAAAACTTCAACTATGAGGCATTAAGCATGCAAACAAAACGATATGAAATATATGCTACAGTCTCGCTGTGAAGAGTAGCCCTCGATCGTCCCAAGGTGATCTTCAGCGTCCTGGAAAATCGAGGGCAATTGTTCGGAAGGCAGACATATCGCGATCCCGACTGTGTTATGACGCTCCTTTCAGTGTTCGTTACCTTTGGAATCGAAACAAATGTCCTTGGGACTACGGAAAGTTTCACGAAGACGGAAATGGTAAACATCAAGAAATATTTATGAATAAAATTTTAATTAATTTTGCGGAATATTTGACCCCTCGATGTAAATGATGCCGTTACGACGAACAGTAAGAAATGTTTCGTATTCCTAGTAAAACAAGTGCCGAGAAAAAATCTTCCTGAAAGATAGAAAGAAACGACGCGTGTTTACACACGTTAAACAGCTGAGTAAGTTTCCAAATCTCCTGAAAACCTAACAGATCGACGTGAACGTGTTTCTCGTTTTGTCGATGACAGTCATATGTCTATTTCGCTAATTGGATCGTTGAGAAATTCGGTAATCACACCTCCCACCGGTCGCTTTAAGCAAGGTGTAGGATTACAGAAGGATAACGCTTTGATGTAGAGCCGTTGACAATCATTGGTCGAAAGCCAATCGTTCATATCCGTTTTGGGAACCATACGCAGCGATGATACTCAAGAACAGTTCAACGATGTGATACTGCCTTGTTCAAGCACGTGATCGAGTTCGGTTTTCGCTGGTCTGAGCCCATCAAGGGCCACATGGCGTGCTTTGAATGCCACAGGTGAACCCGTGGTTGTGATGTGATTCACAACATTGCTGGTTGTCCACTCCAGATTACTGGTCACTTGCCTCAATCCCGGATATTCTTCTGACTCTGTATGATGGGATCAGTCGACTGAGCGCTTCGTCCTAACTATGGCTAGACTCGGACTCATGTAGGTGCTTCCACCTATGGATAACTACGTCTTCTTATCTGTCAGTCATCGTGGATGAGGATTTACGAGTGGGTCGTAATGGCCCAGCAAATCTGTGCGAATGGCGGTCAAGGAAACATCAGTGGGATGAAAACTTCAGTGAATAATTTTGCGTCAACTCAGGTTGGGATAGATGAACCTTCTTCTAGGGTTCGAATCGTCTCACCGTTAGCCGCTTTGAGATTGAAGGATAGACAAGGACGGCGTTCGTTCGTGAATGTGGGAAGTACCCTAACATCTTTCCCTTTATCGGGGTGTTCTACTCAAGATTGTTTTTACGCCCAGACATACACGGTATTTCCATGTATGCCAGAAGTTTCTATATAAACGGAATGGATTTGTTCGAAATGTTGCTTTTATCTAATGTCTTCTGCCACTTATCATCTTACGGGTGAATTCTTGTTGAGGATGCATTTTAAGTTCATGCTTCATTTTGAGTTTATTGTTGACACATATTATGGGAAGAAGGAGTGAACTACCAGATTGCATTTGTAGGTTTTGCTGTTTGTAGCACTGTTATTTTCAAAACCGAACATATTTGAAATGCGCGCTTTGCTCAGTATCTCGAATGCAAATATCTTTTAACTACTTTAATCAGCCGAAGGAATGAAGGAGTATACAATACACTTATTATTCTCCGGTGTAGTCACCATGGTATCAACACTTGTTGTAACGCTGTGGCACTTTCGTTGCCTCATTTGAGTTGAATGGATTCAGCAGGAAATATTGTTCAGCGCTAGTTTTCGAACTGATGAGGTATGGGAGATTTCGAAGTGGATATCCTTGCAGTTGGAACAAGTGTGGATATTCAAAGGACAGACGGTGAGTTCTTCATAATTTGTGTACCTACCGAATACCACATCTGTTTAATTGTATCTTTCGATTGACTCACCGTGTGAATTCTCTGATATTTTCTGTAATTCAATCTTTGAGAGTCCTGTGTAAAGGCCAGGCTCCATCACAAATACTTTCTCTTCACGCCATAACGATTTTACAAGCTCACCTTTTTGGATTTTCTGCCGTAATGCCTCATGAGCTCTCAGTTGGCTTATCACAATCACCATTTCAGAATATAGCCTTGATGCTGATACTCACTCTTCTTCTTGAGCATGCGGAAACCTAAGAACTAAAGATATTCATAGTTAGGTAACTGCGTGGTGGTTTTCGTAGGTAGTCTGGAATCCCAACTAAAGTAATCGATTACATAACAGTATGCAACATCAGTAGGACGAGTAGAGGAAATGTGTTATTTTGAGCTCCCTTTTCTAGGTTTTTAGGCTCAGTTCTTTTGTTTGGCTATATCTGTTCATTCAGAGAGCGGAAAACAAAGGATTTTTATCCTCAATCCTATATTTCTTGTGCAATACACAGTGTAAATCACAAGGACAGTATTTCCTCACCTAAATGCAGTACACGAATAGCTGATACTAGTATTTCGCTTTGAACTGGTCAGGGACTCGTTCGAATGGTATGTAGTTCTGTTACCGACCTTACGAGTTCTTGTACAAGTCCCATCTTATTGTTACCATAGTCCTTGTCTGGCTGGGTGCATAGTTTGATAGTGGTGAAAATGATCTAGTTGGTGAAGGACTGTCACCAGCGCCAATGAGTTTGTTACAGTCTAAGCCCAAGAAGAATTTTAAACTTCACTCCAAGCTTCTTGCCGTGCAGATAATTACCTATTGTATCTACTGGGGGTCACATCTCACAGCGTAGCGCTGTTGTACCTTATAGTTTCAGAGCATGATCGTGTTTGATAACCTAATCTAACAACCTTGTACATTTCTTTTCTAGTTTGTAAGACTTGGTTGCTGCCTGGATTGAAGTAGATGAGGCGGCATTTCTCGGTACCTAGTTGTTCGGTACTCGGCAACCTTGTGCACACTCATGCAGTAGGCAATACGCCATACCTACTGTATGAGGGCTAATGGTACTACCTGGCTGCTCAAACCTCAGGTGTCGGAGTGGGATTCATACCCATGAACCATCGGTTGACAGTTATCTCCCTAAACGTCATTGCTTAATATGTACAAATAGTCTAAATCTTAGTGATTCATACTTCCCCAGTATTGTCTAGTATCTAATTATTGAACTCCATGGATGATTAGGTTGAATGCTAAATTCTTAAAGTAAAGTCTTGACATACACTCAGTAACTTTCGTAATCCACACAAGCGTTTGCTTAGGGCTTGAGAACTAGACCTGCCAGAAAACTTTTGGTATCTACTCTAATGAACCCCCAACTAAGATTCGTTCTTCAAAATTTTCTAGCTTTCTTTTGGTGGTAGACACGTTAACTGAGTGGTCATTTCTCTTCGAAATACACCATTGCCTCCCGTTAAGACGTTTATAGTCACTGAATGAACATATTCGTTTGCCTACTAAAGCAAATGTCTTATCAACTTTCCAGTCACGTAATTCTGTTTTCCTAGACTTTATTGTTAGTGATATATACATACCTACGTTCCGTTACCTAGCCGATGCACGCTGTTCTAGGTGTAAAACCTATCTGGTTTTTCCCGACTTTGCTGTTCTCGATCCTGTAGTTAGGCATTAGATGAATATGGAACCTAGGATCTTGGGATGATGTTTATTACAAAAGAACTTCTCTCCTTTATTATAAGTTAAAATGGTCAGTGAATTAGTCGTCTGGTGTGACTTCTTCTGACTCCTATACACTGCCCAGTTCTTCCGTCACCCTTTTCAGTAATTCCCCACCCCCTTCTTTGAAAACATCGGATCATAAATCAAGGTCTTCTGCTTCGCATTGTTTCAAGTTTCGAACGGACTTCTCAACTTCGAAGTGGGTTGGAAGTCCAGCGTCTAGATCCCATTGAAATTTGGATTAGATGCAAATAAAACGTTTTTGTGAGCCAGTTGAACTGTACTTCAAATTGTTCTAGTCGTCTGTCCATGCATTTCCTAGTGGTCGTTAAGCATTGTCTTACCAGTATGCGTAATAAAAGTAAATTACTGTCAAATAGTTGCAAATTCGTATGCATTCTTTTCTCATCTCTTTCTCCTTCACCATCCGCTACTGCTTACAGTCGTTATGGAGACTTAGGCAGTTTACCTTTCAGCTATTTTCGTTCCGTATTATAGTAAGAGCTATTTGGAATGGATCCTTTTTCCTCAGTTGGGAAATCAAATAACTCACTAATGTATAGGAGTGAAACTCGGACACTGATAGATTTGGTAGGGTTTTACTAACCCTTGTATGTAGTTTAGCAACTTCCTACCACTGTTTCTGCAGTATACTGAATATTACGCCAAGTGTCCTCAGAATGAGCATTGCTGTCACATTCTGATAAGTGCTATCTCGCTACATAGATACCTTATCTCATCCTCCAATCGAGCAAAGAAAGGCTTTAGTACCTTTCTTTGAGACCGTGAGGCTTAGGCATACATACCCGTACTAACGTGCAGTCGGAGTTCAAACAGGTACTCTTGAAGAGACGGCAGTCTTCCAACAATGGCTTATGACAATATGATCCTTCTGTCCATCGTTGGTCTGATGTCGGCGGACATTATATGAGACAGTGTCTCTCCTTATGTTTGAATTTAGTGCTATCCAGAAAGCATTTGATTGTCACGAAAATTTTCGACAGGTGGTCACCGTTTTTGGTTCGTTGGCATGGGATTCTGCAGATACCCCCAAGATACCTATCCGACGGGCTCAACCTTTCTGCTTGAGCGTTGAAGTCGCCTGCTATTATAACTACATCAAAAAGAAATCAATACGAATGACAAAACCACATCCAAAGTGCTACTAAATTTGTTCATGCGCGATTTCGTTATTTGAGTATAATAGAAGGAAGTAACATTTGATGCCATGAAAATATTCTTCCCGTTTGCTGAACTGATACCCAATCAACGTAAATGCAGCTATCTATCTTACTTTCGTGTACCAGACTGATGGTATTGTTGACCACTAGATAGTGTGATTCATTGTTCATTAAATAAGTTTAATCGCCTGTAGTAACTGTATTCTATCAGTGATGGAAATTACTGAATGCCAAGTATTGTTTGTAGGGGTGCAAACTAAAGATAATTTAGTGTTTGGTTAGATACGACAAGTTCAGTCATCGATCATATTCCTAGCGCTGTCATTTTAATTACACTAAGTAACATCACGAAATGAAAATTGTATGATAAGCACACAGGAATAACAACGATATCACGGTGGTCAGGTTACGAACAATCAACGTTTTACTTGTAAGATTTATGCCTTTCACGTTTTATAATCGCCTATAGTTTTAAGAATTGTCTTCAGTGCTTTTTGTTGTTTTTGGTGATACCGTTCCCTGTATCAGGAATAAAGGTAGATAAGTTTCTGTACTGAATTCTTCAGTCTTAGTGAACTTTTGTGTCAACCTGCCATTGGTAGTGGTTGTAGATTCTCAGTGACAGCCCCATTGCATTCATACGTTATCCTCACCTTAATCATTATACTGAATTCAGTATTTTCTAACCCCTCCTCCCATTCTTTTACTACTTTCTATTGCTTTCAACCGATTCTTCTCCATTTCTTCATCTTTCATCTTATTGCTTATTGTGCTGATATGAGATGTAGCAACGTGGACCACTATGACACTGACAAAATTAACGTAGAACCTTGAATACAAGTACATCACCTCAAGTTGCCACACTTCACAGTAGTACATGAAGAACAAGTAAAGAGAAAAAGAATGATATCAAAATGTGAGACAATAAACAATCTGAAGATAATGGTTAGTGCAAATATTTAATCTTTAGAAGACGCTAAGTAATGAATATGTTTGCATCATAGTGACTGGTTTTCAACCGTGTCACCAAGAGTCATCAAGTACTGACTCCTTTCGTCTCGGGGACCTCACCAAGCAGTCTAAATCCCCCCCTCACAACTCATACCAACAGTAAAAGACTTCATTGATGTCTTGGTCTAGCCATCCTAAACTCTCTTCCCTCTCTCAACTTAATCCAACTTTCACCAGTTTGACATATTGAGGTAGGCAGTGGCTTGGCAAGCACAGTACATGTTCAAACCATCTCAGTCGATTACGGTTCACTAATCTACTAGTTAAAATCCTAAAGTTATGAAATACATTTTTATGATTTCATTTATATACTTAGACATATTTTTCTTGGGATGCATTCTCAGGTTCATAACTCATTCCGAAAGATTTTATTTGAAATAAACTGTCATCTTTTGGTTAACAGTATGGTTAAACAAGTATGATGTATATCGTTTTTCTTTTTTTCCATACATAGGCCGTGTACACTCAGCTATTGTGAGCGGTGTCAATTTGAATACAAGAAGTGTTACAGTTGAATGGTATGAAAAAGGGAAGCCAAAGGAAAGGAAGTAAGTCTTGTAGGGTAGATTGTATTATTCAAGAACATTCAACTGTTTGAAATATTTTGTTGTAGAAACATTGGGTTTCAGTTTACACTGTTGTATTGTTTGATTATTGCGTCAGAATTTCTTTTCTTTTTCATAGGCTGAATTGATAAACAGTAGAAATCAGTTAAAAATTATTATGGTTGACCTCTACATTCCAGTTGAAAACTTAAACCAATGTAACAAATGAATCTGAATTACCATCTTTAAGTACTTACGTATGCCGGTCACCGATTGCCTCGTCATGCAATGTTGGCTGAAGTAGGTCCAGGCTGGAAAAAGGCCCGAGGTGGCCAAATTAAAACATGGCACCAATGTATGAAGTCTCTGACTGTTGGTTTGAGCCATGTGGAGCGATGCGGACTAAGTGGTTGGGGTCCGCAGGACAAGAGGAACCAGTGGTTGGAGACTGACTCTAGGTGATCACATGTCTGGGAACCGATATCAGTCGCACAGATGTATACATACATTATCCTCATCCTAACGACGCTATACCGATTCTCACCATTTTCTCATTCTTCCTTTCTCTCTCTCTCTTGTAGTACTTTGTATTTCTTTTTAGTGAATTTTCTTATGTTCATGTAGCACTTCACTGCCTTTTTACTTGATGTACTGAATGAGGTGTGGCAACTCGAACCGTTACGCAGTAATGCTTGGTCCTAGGTTGATGTGTATGGATGGATGAGTGGAGTATCAGGAATTAAGCCCATTTAGTCACTGAATTTGTAGAACTAACCGATTATTGTTCTGATTGTTCTTTCATTCAGGAATTGTTTGCGTAAAAAGTATATTCTAGAAGATGAGCTGCATAAACTAGCTCTTTTAAAAATGAGTAACAAAAGGTTGTAGTGGAAAGTCGAAATGCTTTGAGCAACCATGTAGACATTTGTAGAGTAGGCGATGAGCCATACCTTTTTATGGGGTATAATGCTACTACTCAAACCTTGGTAGGTGCAGTGAGGTAAAGTGATGGAATGCATCGACCATTTCACTTACTTGGGGAGTTGCATCAGCCCAAACAGGCTGGTTGCTGACGTCATCTCGGATGCAGAAGGCCTCTGTGACATTTGCCAATTTACGTGATCTGTGGCGTCAGCGAGATATCCGACTATCCATCAAAGGATGGGTATACGGTGCGGCAGTTTATTCTGTCCTGTTGTGCGGTTGTGAGACATGGCTATTAAGAGTAGAAGACATGAGGCGATTACACGATTTTGATCACATATATCTTCGTAGCGTTGCTTGTGTTTGGTGGAATTTCCATGTGAGCAATGTTGAGGTCAGGGGAGAAGGGTACTAGGAAAGTCGGTTGGTTAGGTTGTGAACCTTACTCGACTAAAGTTGCTTGAATATGTAATGTGCATGCTGAACTATCACCTACCTAGATGTGCCAATCTTGAAGAAGTTGGATTCGGTTGGAAAAGTGTTGGGGGTGAGCAGACTATGACCTAAAATCAGTCGATAAAGTCCCTAACTGTTGGTCTGAATCGTGTTGAAATGGCTGAAAATTGTTCACAGTGGCGCTGATCCATTCACTACCTGACGTCTTTTGAATCTTGAATATTTGGACTAATCGTGATATTCAAATCGTTTATTCTTTCACACAAGTGGCTTCATGTGTTACGCATGGTAAAAACAAGGGTGTGTAGAGCTTACCTTAATATGTTGCTACCTGAAGCGTGGTCCTTAGACTTACCTATGGTGATAACCAATTCAAGGCATATTGTTTAAAATGCTTGTTACTTAAGATCTTATCATTCGATGAAGATTGAAAAATGATGAATACTAAAAGCAGCTAATTTCATGATTGAAATAATGGTACTAGACCAAGACGTTTATCATAATCGATAAAGTCTCTTACTGTTGTTCTCAGTCGGGTAGGAAATTATAGTTTAGTTCGACTTCCTACTTTATTAAAATTTTCTTTTTTTTTTATAGATTGAACTTGAGGCTATTTTTCAACTTAATCCAAATTTGAAGTATTCAGAGGTAAGTTTTATTTACTCTGCTACATATTTTCCATTTGTTAACAGAATAAATGTATTTTATTAGATAAACTTTTATATTTTATCAATACCAATCGTCATCTTGCTTTAGAAACATCCGTAAACAATTAGTAACCTACACTTGAATGTTAGCAAATGTGATTGAATTTCTGCGACATCATTTGAACTGATTGTTGCGAGTAAACTGATTTCAACTGGCTCTAATCAAGCAAAGTAGAGATGTATAGCTTCGTTCTATCTTAAGTGTTAAAGTATAAGGTTTTCAAGGTGCTCATAAACATTTCAGGAATACCCTTCTCTTGACACTTTTAGAGTACAGCTGTGATATAAAAACACAGAACTTTTGTTAATCTGAAATACGTGTGAGTTTTAGAGCATCTTGGTGGTGGGTGAACTCGTGATAACTGCATCCCTGGCTCAAATGAAACCTGACATTTTCCCAGATGTTTAACCAATCGTTTAGATGCTACCTATTGCAGAGTGATACCTTGATGACTATCATATGGGTTACTTAAACCTTTTTAAGAGTTTGGTACGTCGATGACGCAATTAAGGTCGTCAGTTTCCTAACTAGTCTGACTTCTATTCTTTCAAAAGAGCTGGTGGTAAGTTGTGTGGTTTGTATACTTTACTTCATCCTAGTGTTTGATATTCATTACAAACTTACACTTCTTTAGGCGGACGGTAATAACTTACGGCGAAGTACATGATACTGGAGTTGATGTTGTTGAGACAGTAGACCAACTGAATTCCCTATCAATTTGCTCCGCTTAGCCTGCTGAGCGTCCCTGAAAGTTTGTGATCGTCGTACCGTTTAATTCACAACAATCTCAATGACACCAGGTTGGCAGATGCAGTTACTGCTCCTATCTCAAACACCCTGACCACCAAAACTAAAGACCCTTACATAGATGGTGTGTGGTTTATCGCTTAACCGTTATACACATACTATTGTAGGAATTTACTGCCGAAATAGATGGACGCGCGTCAATAAGTTGCAAAGAGCTCAAAAAAGTCAAGTTTTTATGAACGGGATGTTCTTCATGGTAGCGAACAGTCATACTCGTCATTTTCATGGCATCCTGTAGGTGCTCTAGAAGGAGCGACAGTCCTGAATACATTCACATCAGTGACTAACTACAATATGACCTATTTTGAGTGCAAACTTGAGTAACAAAGAAAGGATGCTAGGCAGCACAAAAACAGTATGCATGTTAGAAGTTTTTACTAGCTAGAAACTGGTGATTTGCTCAAAATTGCAGAAAATGTTCTTCGTTATCAGATCTAGGACCGATTAGTACCTGTTGGTCACCTAAACGACGCTCCTCTGAACCAAGGCACCGCGATATGCGTATTCAAGTGTCAAGCTAGCATTATGATATCTTCCGAGCGCACTTGGTAAAAAAGGTTACTCAATTAATGATACGGCTCATTTTTAACTGCATCTGAACTAAAGTTGGAGCGTATGTGGGCTACCATGACAAAGGGACATTACTTCGCTTGCCAGTTACTTCTCATTCTAATGGAATATTATAGCTAAAAAGCAAAATCGAATATTGATGGGTTTCCAGTTTGCTATTGCAGTTTCGGACCTAGCACTTATTACTATATCAACGCCAGATAAGTCAGCTGCTAAAGCCACAGGGTCTTGGACAAGCGCACTTTAAACGTCATTTCTGGGCTGACAGATAGAGAAGTTATTCGAACCACTTCACTGGGTTCCTGTATTCAGGTCTCTGGAATACAGCATGCATTAATAGCAAGGCTTTCTAGCCGAATGTGTCTTGTCAGGTCTGCATAAGCGTACGAACGTTGAAGACAACTCACCTAAACAGTTCGCACGCTTTTAGGATGGTTGAGTCAATTTTTTTAGAACCATCTATTTAATGACCCAAGACAATGTGAACAGACCATAGTTTTAGCCATTGGTGAGTAGCGGTTTCAAATAGGAGTGTAAATACACAGTTGAAAGATGATAACGGAAAGACAGCATAGTGCAGATGTAAAAATGATGACAATACGAAGCCAATATATTGTTACCTAATGATGAATACGCTTTCTTGCAATCAGATTTGGCGAACCCTTTGTATACCTCATTGTCAATGCTGACACTGTCCAATCATCATCAATATCAACATACGACCAGGCATTACTGCATAACGATCCGAGTTGCCACAGCTCATAAATCATTACATCAAGTAAAAAGCCAGTGAAGTGCTACATGAAGATAAGAAAATTCACTAGAAAGAATTATAAAGTACTACAACAGAGAAAGGAAGAAAATGGTGAGAATCGGTATAGGTCGTTAAGATGAGGATAATGTATGTAAACATCTGTGCGACTGACATCGGTTCTCAGACATGTGATCACCTACAGTCAGTCTCCAACCACTGGTTCCTCTTGTCCCTCGGACCCTAACCACTTAGTCGCATCGCTCCACATGGCTCAAACCAACAGTCAGAGACTTCACACATTGGTGCCATGTTTTAGTCTGGCCACTTCTCACCCTTTTCTATCCTGAACCTACTTCGGCCAATATTGTGTGACGAGGCAGACGACCAGGCATGCGTAACACATGTCTCAGCCAGCTATTTCAGCCGATGAAGGTTCACAACCGTGTCAACTGACTGACTCAACTGACCTCTTCTCCCTAAAGCTCTACATTACGTTACGTGGTGATATCACGGAATACGGCCTATACTACGAAGGCAACGATGGCAAACACTTGAAGTCTTCTCATATCTTCCGATTTCAATTGGCATAATTCACAGCCATAGAGTAGAACAGAGTGGACTGTAGTGCACTACACGCTACCCTTCATAGATAATCGAATATCACAGCGGCACCATGGGTGGTGTAAGTTGGCAAATGCCAGTCAGACGAGCCCCCTTGTATCCGTGCAGAGGTATCATCGGCCACTAAGCTAGCCACCAGGGTTGATCCTACTTCCCTGCATCTTGTCAGCGTCTTCACCTAACACGACTATGTCATCTGCATATTCTAGGTCTCAGGAAAATTCTCTTGTGATTAGGTCAACGTCTGTGTAATCAGGTGAAGAGAAGGAGACCTGCATAAGAATATCTATGATAAAGTTGAATAAGAATGGAGAGAGTGGGCACCCTTGAACGACACCACTCGATGAACACATCTCCTCGGACACCTCTTCATAGGCTCTAACACGCCTACCTACAAGTGTTCGAGTAGAGGGCCTTCAATGAGGTGATGTATTTACTCAGCATGTCTTTCAGTGAGAGGCATTGCCATAAGACTTCTGGATCAATGGAGTCGAATGGTGCCTTCAAGTCGAGAAATAATACAGCTATCGTTGGGAGTGCCTGTGTTCCGAAACCTGACTCAGTGTGAATATTTGGTCGATACACACACACGACCGGGTCTTAAGCCTGCCTGGTTTTCTCGGGTTTGCTGTTCCCGAGCTCCACTCAGACGTCGAAGAATTATACAACCTAGGATCTTTAACACTATTTTCGTGAGGCTGATTCTCCTATGGTTAAAACAAGAGGACTTCTCACCTTTCGTGAATACTGCGATAATCAGTGATTTAGACCAATCAGAAGGGATCGTTTTGGATTGCACGACGAGTTAGACGGTGCCTAGGAATGCGTAACAAATATCCTAGCCGCCTGAGTCATCGACAATTCACTGCTTTTCCTCTTCACCTGACTTCTACAACACTGACGGGATTACACCACGACACATGGCCTATGTCACGAAGGTAACGGAGATCAAACGTCTAAAGCCTTCTCATATCCTCTATCTTTAATAGCCATGTTTCATAACCACACAGTAAAATAGGGTGAACTGCAGCACTGTACACTCAACCTATGATAGGTGATCGAATGTTATGACGGAGCCATAAGTGGTGTAAGTTGGCGAAAGCCAATTGAGTCTTTTGTATTAATGCGGGATTTTGTGAGTCACTGACCCACCAGGGCTGATCACGCTCCTAGGGTAAGTCAAGTGGTCAACACACTCATCCTCTTCACTCTCTACTGACGTCAGATGACGAGAAGAAGACCTCCATAAGAACGTCTATGATAAAGTTGAATACAAATGGAGAGAGTTGGCATCCTTGAGGGGAACACCATCCTATGTACGCAACCCACTACAGGCGGTTACATACCTACAGGTATTCGACTACATTGCCTTCAACAGAGTGATGTACTCATTCTGAACCTCTATGAGTGGGAGATCCTGCCATAGAACCTATCGGTCGAATGCCGCATTCTGGTGGAGAAAAACAACAAGTGTCAGGCGTCCGTAAATTTGCATGTGTTTCAGAACCTGATGGCGAGTGAATACCTGATCGGTACACCGACAGGCAAGCCTGAAGCCTATCTGTCATTGTCGAGTTCGCTGTTCGCGAGCTCATTCAGACGTTTAATGTTTATAAAACCAAGAATATTCAACACTATTTTCATCGGGTTGATTCCGCTGTCGTAATGACAAGAGGACTTATCGCCTTTTTCGGAGGCTGGAATGATTGATGATTAAAAGCGGTCAGAGGATATCGTGTCTGACACCTACACATTAGTTCGCACTTTAGTCAGATTGACTGAAAATCTTTGACCACCAGTTCATCAGGCCCTGACCGCTTTTAATCAGAGGACGAGTATACTACGGAGTAGTCCATCCTGTCCTGGTGTAAGGCTTTGGGTCATGACCGTTAACAGTAGGAGATATGATGCGTTAAGAGGTTTTTTTTTAGCATAGGTGTCTTCGTAGCATTGCTTGTGTTTGGTGGAATCAGGCTGTGAGCAATGTTGAGGTCAGTAGAAAAGAACTAGGCATGACAGGCAAGTCGATTGACAAGGTTATGAACCTTCATGAATTGAGATGGCTTGGATATGTACTGTTGTTAAAACCAAGATAGATGATACGAGGTTCAACTTGTATCCCACTAATCAGAAGACTTCACAATGTTAGTCTGTAAGTAATTAGAGATTTGGAGGGTGAAAGTTTATGATTGATTCACTTCTTGTCCCCGCACCCCTCATCCCCGACCTACACTTTGCACTGTGATTAAAGATGACTGTTAGAGTAGTTTATATGATAGGTATGTTTACAAAATGTTATCGAAAAAGAACAATAGTAGTCTACAATTGTTACATATCATGGATTAAGGTTAACCTCTGATCGTCTTTGGCTGATTGATATCCTTTCTATTGAAACGCCATCTTTACATCATGTCTAGTTGAGTGAAATAGTAAACTGTCTTTATTTTTTATTAAATTATAAATTGGATTTTTAGCCTGTTGCAGATAATGTTTGCGGAACTGGTGAAATCAATCGTAATCAATCAGCTAAAGAAGTCGGTGTTTCTTTACACCGTCCTGCCATCAATCTTCCTGGTGATATACGGAATTCGGTAGCTGTATCAAATTCTTTGCATATTTCTTCTGCTACTTCTATTGTTACTGCTACTGGTCCTACTGCACAAAGTAAAGTGAATCCTACACAAATAGATTATTCATCTAATAATCAATCTCGTTTGGCTGCTCCTTCAACACGTGTTCCTGTTCCATCGTCTCGTGTACCTACTAGTCATCCTGCTACGCGATCTACAACAATGGGAGCTTACGATGATCGTACACATCAGTCTTTTCGCTCTCAAGCCTCTATACCAACACATAATTCTGTGGATATAAAGCAAACTCAACATGAAGGTTTGTGTTTCAAAGATAACTTGATATTTAAGTGTGTTTCACTGATTATTTCCAATGGACACTTCATCAATAGCGTATTATGAAGTGTAGTTTGACAAACTTTTATTATGATCGCATCATTTAGTTATTTAAAGGTAGTATTCATCATCACGGACGGACATTATTTGGAGAACTGTTGAAGACTTGTGAGCACTGATCAGCTGTTTTGTCCTAATATGCGACTGCTCAGCAGTATACACCCATCTCCCCGTTAGAAGTCGAACCTGGAACCTTCACCAATGAACCACTAGGTCAAAATCTATTGGACATGTATGTGATTAGTTGTCTTCCTGACTTAAACTTTGACCTTCTTGTCATGTCTTATTGAATGATAGGTTATCTGTTGATCCCTGATCGACCTAAATGACAAGCTTCTAAAAATTCTGTGGAATTCCTTGTATTTCTTTTGTTCAGGACTTTTACATTGTCTTAGTCGAATACATATCCACAAGTGTACGTATGCATTGATATCAGCGAAGATTTATCATGATGCTTCACTGTTCGATGGTTTCCATATAGACGTGTAGGAAGAGGCCGACCACAGCTTCAATAATCTAGCCATGATCTCGGAGATGTTCTTAATGTAAAGTAAAAAAAAATCCGTTTGTAGGATTCCGTGGATAGTAACTAAAGTATACAGAAAGTCAACTCATATAGATCAAATCCCTCAACTACTAATACCAACAACCAAACAGCACAGAGAATCTAGTTGTATAAAAATATGTTTCAAAAGATCGAAGGCTCCATTCGACTTTATCCCAAGTTGTTTGGATAATTAGTTGTCACTCTAGAAGTCAACCTTAAGAACTGACATGTAGAATATCTGTGAGATATAACCTAGTCAATTGTTGAAGCCTTTTAAAATCGTTGTAACTCATAAACCCACAAATCATCCAATAGGGTATAAGAAGTAGGTGGACCAATGAAAACAAGTATGGGGACAAGGACGAAACTTTGACAGAAAATAGCCAATCACATACAAGGCCGTTAAGATAAGCTGTTAAGTTATGTATGAAGATTATCTCCATAGGCTCATGTTTCTCAAGTTTGTGCTGATGATGATATTGTCATCCAGCTTAGAGGAGGCAATATTATCATGATTTTAATTTTTTTGTTGTTGTTTGAGTCAGATTGCAGTATTCATGTCATGTTCTTTTTATGCAACAACTTCTCACTTCTCATTTTACCATATTATCGCTATGTTATTCCTTTCATGATTAATTATCATGTATTATTTTCTATTGTGTTAAAGGTTTAGCTATTTCTTTTCATCTAAAAAACTATAAGACAAATGATCTCCTGATTGATCGATTTTTTCCGGTATTTTTATTGCATGACCCTAATCATCTATATTGTTTTGTATTCTTCTCACTTGTATTCCACTCAGATTAAGTTACCATGGCAACATGATTCTTCTCCGACCTGGTGTTAAGTCTCTTTGACCTTGAGATTTTATAAATACTCCGAAATGATTTTCAGAAAAGATGAGGAAAATCTCAGATTGACTTTTTGAAGACCACCTTAGCACCTGTCTAGATGAATAAATTAGATTTCAGTGTTCTGGCTAAACAAAAAACTTATTCACAAAATAGCGAAAAGTAATTGGGTATCTAGGAGTTGCTAAGGGGCAACCTTTAAAGTCACTGAAATCTTCGCTTTTCTGTGTATCCAAAGAGAAAAAAAGTGCCAACTTGACACGTTTAAACAGTTTCTGTCTCATCTTTTTATAATAATAATAATAATAATACCCTTCATTGTACCGCTTGTTCGGGATCCTCACAGGAATACAAGTCTTTGTATATACTAGCTATACTCTGAATTATTTTAATCCTTTGATGAGTACTGATTGAGTGAAACCTGACCGATCAAGTTGTCTGATAGATTCAACAGTAAAATGAGTTTGCATATGACTCGATATCTTATTGTAACTGATAGATGTCCGGACCGACATGGTAGTCGGGCTTTCATATCACAATGACCCAACGAGATATGCTGGTGAGACACTTGTTCCCTTGAGTTCCTACCATACCAGAAAGGCCTGTTGGATAGTGGTCAGACGAAAACAGTTACCGTTGTGGTGTAAATTACTACACTATGATGGGGGTGTGAGGGTGAAGTCGTACTGCTGCTAGCTGGATGGGATGTGGCAGCAGTAAGGTGTTTCCCTTGGATGATCAGCAGTGCCATGCTGATGCTGCCTTCTCAGTGGAAGGGAGGGTTTAGAAAATGTCGACCCTAAAAATAACACACCACCATACCGCACGGTCTGCTGGGCCAGCGGTGTTGGTTCATTTGTCATTTTTCGACCATCCGGACCCAAAACAATAAAAGTTCCAAATAACCATGCACACACAGGTCTCAAGCAGGTGTCCGGTGGGCTCTGTGGTCACACAAATCTCCTTCAGGTACCTTAGGAAGAAATAGCCTTCCACGGTGTGGGCAGCCAGGAAGTGTCAACCACCCTCATAACTCGATCAGCACTCGAGTTTCCTCAGACTACTATCCACCTTCGCCATCATCATCTCCTAATCTTCCTTCACGTCTCTCAATTAACGATACCACATCGTCTTCATTTTCTACAAGCTCTACAGTCTTCGACAACGATCTGAGTCCACAGAAAAGCATCCTTGGTCTCCTTTAGCCACACTCCAAAATACATATTGGAACACCCTCCGTCAAATCGGTCAATAGGCTTCGTTGGCAAAGACTCTAGTGACTCGAGGTGTGGATGTGTTCTGTGTTTGTGAGACACGCATACAGGACCCAAGTGTGGTTATTCACCTAACATCTCGCGACCAATTGGTAAATCCGCAAAATTTACCCTTCGAGTTTCTGGAGATTCGATAACGGTCTTGCAGGTGTAGGTATAGCATTAGGCACTAGGGCAGAAAACTCACTACTAGACTGAATCCCAGTTGATAGTCGCCTCTGCGCTATGCGGCTGAACAGCATGGTGAGAACTAAAAGGAATAGTGAGACTCGCCGTTGTCTCTTTGTAATCTCTGCTTACGCACCTACTGACTGTAGTTCGGATGGAGTGAAGGACGAGTTCTACCGTAAACTGTCTAGCCTCCTCTCGAAAGCCAAACGTTCGGACGTGGTGGTTGTTGTTGCAGGTGACTTCAATGCATAGGTGGGTAGACTGAGTGAGGCAGAAAGGCACTTAGGTGGCACTTTCGGAATCCCAGCTGAAAGTACAGATACCGGTGGTCGCCTACTACAACTATGCTCAGATGACCGCCTATTTTTATCTAGCACAAATTTCAGACTCAAAGAAAGACACTGTCTGACGTGTCGTCCACCAAGCTCAACTCAGCGATGAACACAGATAGACTACATTGCTACTAGTCATAGCTGTAGAGGATCGGTGGAAGACTGCCACTCCTTCTGGAGTACGTATTTGGACAGCGGTCATGCGTTGGTCCGAGCACGTATATGCCTGCGTCTCAATAGACGTAGAAAAAATTTGGCCACAAAACCACTACGAGTGCTGCTGGAGAACGGAAACACCAAAGCCATGTTCAATGAGAAGTTGGCTAGGCAGTTATCGGAACAAAAGACTATCACTCATCCAGAAGAAGCTTGTTGCCTTCTTCAGTCTGCTGTAAAAGCAGCACTGGAGACTGTAACCGACTCCAAAATAATGGCTAAAAAGAGCCAGTGGATATGAGCAGCTTCTTCCGAACTAATGGATGCACGTGAACGCCTCCCTGCAGGCTCTGAGTACAATGAAGAGCGAGCGCAACTTAAAAGTAGACTGATGAAAAGTCTGCGCAACGATCGCGAACAGTGGTGGGCAGCGAAGATTAAAGAGATGGGAAAGGCAGCAGCGATTGGTAACAGTAGACATTTATATAGACTTATTAAGAAAACTGGGGGATGGGTAAGGTCAAAACAGTTAGTGAGACTATAGAGGAGAAGGACGGATCTGCGATTCACTCGCAGGGGAGACGACTGGGACGATGGACAGAACACTTTGAGGAACAGTTTAACTGGTCTCCAGCTGCCATCGCGTTGTCCGCTTTCCAGTCAAATCCTCAAATGGACATTGAGGTATGTCACCCAACACCAAAAGAAGTCGAGAAAGCGGTAGGTAACCTGAAACGAGGGAGGGCGGCAGGACCAGACGGACTACCTGCTGAGGTATACAAGGATGGTGGTAAGGTGCTCTTGCTCAGGTTGGCGGAAGTGTTAACCTGTACACGGAAATCAAATACGATCCCCTCTGACTAGTCTAAATCACTGATTATCGCAGTATTCAAGAAACGTGAGAAGTCCTCTTGTTTTAACCATAGAAGAATCAGCCTGACGAAAATAGTGTTCAAGATCCTAGGTTGTATAATTCTTCGACGTCTGAGTGGAGCTCGGGAACAGCAAGCCCGAGAAAACCAGGAAGGCTTTAAACCCGGTCGTGTGTGTGTATCGACCAAATATTTACACTGAGTCAGGTTTCGGAACACAGACACTCCCAACGATAGCTGTATTATTTTACGACCTGAAGGCATCATTCGACTCCATTGATCCAGAAGTCTTATGGCAATGCCTCTCACTGAAAGGCGTGCCGAGTAAGTACATCACCTCATTGAAGGCCCTCTACTCGAACACTTGTAGGTAGGCGTGTTAGAGCCTATGAAGAGGTGTCCGAGGAGATGTGTTCATCTAGTGGTGTCGTTCAAGGGTGCCCAATCTCTCCATTCTTATTCAACTTTATCATAGATATTCTTATGCAGGTCTCCCTCTCTTCACCTGACTGCACAGACGTTGACCTAATCACAAGAGAATTTTCCTGAGACCTAGAATATGCAGATGACATAGTCGTGTTAGGTGAAGATGCTGACAAGATGCAGAGTCTTGTGAAGACTTTGAGTTGTAATTTGAGAATGTTTGGCATGCTTTACTCACCACCGAAATGCAAATGGTTACTCCAGGATTCGTGGTCTTCAACGGTGCCCCACCACGGCTAACAATAGAGAGTGAGTGTAGTGTTGAATGTGTTGACCACTACACTTACCTGGGAAGTGGGATCAACCCTACCCTGATGGCTAGCTAGCTATGTGGCCGATGATACCTCTGCACGGATTCAAGAGGGCTCGTCTGACTGGCATTTGACAACTTACACCACCCATGGTGCCACTGTGATATCCGATTGTCTATTAAGGGTGGCGTGTAGTGCACTGCAGTCCACTCTATTGTACTCTATGGCTGTGAATTATGCTCATTGAAGGTGGAAGACATGAGAAGACTTCAAGTGTTTGGTCACTGTTACCTTCGTAGTATAGGCCGTATTCGGTGGTTTGTCACCACATGAGTAACGCATAAGTCAGGTGTATAGTTTCAGGGAAAAGAGGTCAGTTGACACGGTTATGAACCTTTATTGACTGAGATGGCTTGCTGGGACATGTGTTACGTCTACCTGGTTACCCAATGTTGGTCAAAGTAGACTCAGACTAGAATGGAACGAGATGGCCGGACATGGCATGAGTGTATGAAATGTGTGACTGTTAGTTTTAGTCATGTGTGGCTATGCAGACTAAATTGTTGGGTTCGGCTGGACAAGAGGAATGAGTGGTTGGAGACTGACTGTAGGTGATCACATGGCTGAGAACCGATGTGAGTGGTGAAGATGTATGCACACATTATCCTCATCCTAACGACGCTATACCGAATCTCACCATTTTCTTATTGTTCCTTTCTCTGTTATAGTACTTTATATTTCTTTTGGGTCAATTTTCTTGTCTTCATGTTGCACTTCACTGGCTTTTTACGTGGTGTAGTGATTTATGAGGTGTGGCAACTCGGACCGTTATGCAGTAATGCCTGGTCGTATGTTGATATTGATGATGATGATGTTGATATATGTACAGAAGTACTCGTGATTGTCGTTGTGCTGTCTATTCTGTACCCATAATCCATCATTAACTGTGGAGCTGTAGACGAAAGATTTAGGGAAGTGATTTTTAGCCGAAGAATTGTAGGTTCGAGTTCTTCTGCATCTACAGAGATTTTGGCAGCCAGGTTGTGAGTATCATCATCTGTCTTGATGTAGGTGTCTTACTGCTTACTGTACGAATTTACACGTGGTTGCTGAGCGCATTTCAATTCAATTCGACATTGTTAACTATCGGTCTTTGTCATGGTGGTTTGTTTTCCTGAAATACTGTTTATAAAGGTCGCTAGTTGTTGATGGTGTTGGTGATTAAATTTCAATTGTGATGATTCAGATGGGTTGACATTTACTCTACTTTATGAATATTTTTCAAGTCAACATATTACATTCTTGGTTGTATTATGTTCTCCGAACTGAGTTGTTTAATTGTGAAGCTTACACTGTCGATCTACACAACATGATCCACATCACTGACTACTTCAGTATGAAGTAGTGAGTAACTTATTAGCTTGCCTTGACAAACTCGTTTGTGATTGGTTATTTCTTTCAGAGAAACAACAGTTCATTGCTATATGGAGTGGTGGGTGGGGTGCGGGGGGGGGGCTATAAAGTGCGTCACGAGTTGACCTACCAGTGTGATTTGCTGTGTACATCGTTTGTACATATTATAATGGTGTAATACACAAAATATAGCGTTTATATTGTCTGTACTACAATCCTTGCACCATCTATTGTGACTTGAATAAGCAAATGCCGTTGTACCGTCGATTATTGCTCCTGTAAGATAACAAAAATAAATATTTAGTACTTAATCACGTTTATTCCTGATGTGTTTAAGTCTAAGATGTAACCAACAGTACCAGATGGGTTTTAGAATGAGTCTGATCAGTAGAAGATGTAAATTTCTTACGTCTTTTGCATTATGATGCTTTTCTTAACATGAACCATGTATCGTATAGTCCATTTTCTATGACCGGTAATCTGACCTAATAGTCTATGTACGATATGAAGCCAATGAGAGAGAGAGAGAGAGAGAGAGAGAGAGAGCTCTTACTGTCTTAACAACAGTCAAAAATAGTTAAGAGCAATACTGAATATATATACATTCTAAATGACCTTGACGAACATCAAATTCATTGGTGAGTTAACAGCCAATTAGATTTCAGCCTTCAGATACAATGAGGAAAACGAACGAAAGCAGAAATAATGACGTTATTTTAAGGTTATGTGCAAAAATCAAGCAAATTTTATTTGTATAAGCTTAAGGAAGCATTTACTGTTCTCTTTATTAACACCAATCATGAGGTTATTATGATCGAAGTAGCTGATCTAAACATACCTAATCATGAATGTTGCACAATCTCACGTTTTGCCCAGAGTTCTACCCCGTGTTTTCATGACAATCTAAAACATGACCCCGTGAAAATATTGACTGGGATCCACACAGGAGCCTATAAGCCAATAGAGACTGACTATACAACGGTGGGTTAATACAAACAACAACATTAAAACTATACCTATCGCACAAGAAGTGACTATCGTGACTCAGTAGTCTAGTGGATAACTCTGTGCCGTTTGAAGTAATCGGTCCTAAGTCCGACTCCTAGTGGAAAGAAAATCGCTGACTGGGAGGTAGGTATGTCCGGAATAGGACGAAACGTGCGTCAAGCTGGATCCTGCTGCCACTCACTATCCGTCATCAATATATGTATGCACCTTATTCCTATTAGAAATAATTTTTCTATTCTTTCCAGTATTTAGTACTGTTAAAATAACTACTCAATCCCAACTTAATGTATAATAAATTTTTTTATGATTATTTATCACTTGGGTTCCTAGTGGAACATAGGGCCTCAGTAGCACGTCTCCATTGCACTGTGTTCTCTGCAGTCTTTTCAACCTCGCTCCACGACTGCCCACAAGCTTTCATTTCTTCCTCACACGATCTCCTCCTTGTCACCCTTGCCTCGGACGCCCAACTCATCCACTTTCTCCTTTGGATTCCACTCGAGTACGTGGCCTGGCGTGTGATGTCCCCAGTCGGCCTTCTCACTGTATGCCCAATCCAATCCATCTCCACTTTCCCCTTCTGCATATTTATTGGGTGATAGGTTATTGCTTCGTTGCCAAAGTTGCCTGTTGCTTATTGTTTCTGGCCATCTGATCTTAAGTATCGAGTGAGCGAGCGTAGGTGGCAGCTGTTGATGAATGTCTGTAGTTTGTTGGAAATGCTTTTCGTAACACGCCAAGTTTTTGAACCATCACATAGCAGCACTGACTTGACTGGTATTGGTGTTGAAAATCTGGATCTTGTTCACACTTTGTGCTGAGTGCAGTAGATCTCCACACTGATTTTAAATTAATGAAGGAAGGCCTGTCTTGCTTTTCCGATCTTGGTTTTGATATCCTCGTCTGTACCGTCACCTGTAGTTGAAACAATGCTGCCCAAGCTGGGTATGTGAAAAGACTACTTTTTTTTTAGGTTTCTCCCGTTAATGGTGATTGGTGCCTCTTGTTGTTGGTTGGGTATACTCAACACCTCTGTCTTCTCTAGATTCACTTGTAGTCCCATTTTCGCTGCCGTGCCTCTTCTGCCAACTTGTTGGTTATCGCCTGTAGATCTTCGAGTTTTTGCGACATGACATTAGACATAAATCATCATCATTGGCGAAATTCAAATCTTCTAGGCTCTTTTTATTAGTTCAGTGTATGCCCCTATGTATGCTTAATGATATTCCTTAATTTGTATTCATTTTTCTACTATAGCATCCCGCTATCATGCTTATCATCAACGTTCAGTTACTGGAGAACCTATGGAAGAAGATTTAGAGCCATCGGAACCTGTTCAATCAGATCAAGATGGTTACAGTCATTTGATTAATATTTCAAGGGAGCCAGAAAATACAGGATTAATAGGAGATTGGATGGATCAAGAGAATGGTGATACAACTGAAGATAATATCCCTCAATTAGTAGCCAATGGAAGTCGTGCAGGCGATGGATCACGTCGTCCAATGGGTGCGTATATCATATATACATTCTAGCAATTTACTGATGCATGTAGATTTGCTGTGTAGTGTGTTTATAAACCTTTACAGTTAAGCGTTAACTATATTGGTTTGATGCGAGGTTGGTACGAGTTTCTTTCTATTTGGGACTCATCAGCTGGGGTTGTACCTGCACCCCAGTGAATGTTGCTCCCACTGAGGCCAGAGCGTTATCTCCGAAACCACTGGGATACAATAGCCACCTGATTGAGAACAACATCACTTGGCACTGCGGTGCAGGTACATCCAGCTGAGGCATCGGCATAGAAGCCCATCTCCCAACAGCAGACGTCGAGCAATTTGGCCCTGTATATCAATAGGAAATTACAAGTATCTGAACTAAGCATTCTTCACTATCTGGTACTGAAAACAGTCACAATAGAATGTATGTTTCGCGCCTAATGTTGACCTGTGTAAAGCTTTCGAAGCAAGTGTACAGCATTTCACCTGTAGACATCATTGCTAAAAATACACTTGACTACCTTTCAGCTAGTGTTGTGACCGATTGATGGGGTTGCGCGCGTAGGTATAATAATAGACATCCTTCAGTACCTTCTGCTTCACTGAGCCGTGGAGAAATCAGAAAACAAAAGACAGCCTATAACTGCAAAAACAGGGATAACAACAACTTTTATTAGGCAAATATATGAGATATATGTATGTAGTTACAAAACTCAGAAAGTGAAGCCATAAATGAACCAATCAGATTTCTTGTCTGAAGTCGAATTTCTCTAATCAGGTTCTCATTTCAGCGCATGCATAAACCATAACCTGAATTATAATCTTATCATGACTTGAAAACAACTTCCCTATTGGCTGCTTTCTTGTTGCTACATATCAGCTAGCTATAGACCTCTAGCTATAAATCGTTAAGATGATTTTTTAGACTTTACTACTCATTTCTCATATAACTGATTAATACATTCTAAGATATTTCATATTAAATATTTCCGTTTATTAATTTAGCTCGTCCAAGCTCAAACTTTAGTACATCTAATGTAAATACAACATTTCCAACAAATTCAATAGGGAATAACACTTCAATTACAATAGCACAAAGTAATGCAGGAGGTAGTGGAACTTTACGTAAATCGAATTGTGTTAAAGAAATTGAACGAATACAACAAAGACGTGAAGAACGACGTGCTGCACAAAAAGCATTTCGTGATCAAATTGATTTAGATCCAAGTAATCCTAGTTATGAATTTCATATGATGATTCAGTAAGTAGTAATAATGTCTTATTATTATTATTGTGTGTGTGTGTGTGTGTGTTATTGGCCTGTGCAATGATTGATCACTAAGCTAATAGGCTAAGCATCACAGTGCACATAAGTGGATTCAATCCATCTAAGTTAACATACGACTAGGTATTACTGTGTAACAGTTCACCTTGCCACATCTCATATATCACCACATCAAGTAAAACGGCTGTGAAGTGCTACATGGAGAAAAGAAGATTCAGTCAAAAGAAATATAAAGTACGAAAAGAGAGAGAGAAAGGAAGAATGAGAAAGTGGTGAGATTCGGTATAGCGTCGTTAAGATGAGGATAATGTGGATATACATTTGCACCACTGACATCGGTTCTCAGCCATGTGATCACCTACAGTCAGTCTCCAACCAATGGTTCCTCTTGTCCCACCGACCCCAATCAGTTAGCCTACATCACTCCAGATGGCTCAAACCAACAGTCAGAGACTTCAAACATTCGTGCTATGTTTTAGTCTGGCCACCTCTCACCTTTTTGTATCCTGAACCTACATCCCTAAAACTCTACATCTGACTTCTGCGTTACTCATGTGGTGACAAACCACAGAATACGGCCTATACTACGAAGGTAACAGTGACCAAACACTTGAAGTCTTCTCATGTCTTCCACTTTCAATGAGCATAATTCACAGCCATAGAGTAGAACAGAGTGAACTGTAGTGCACTACACGCAACCCTTAATAGACAATCGAATATCACGGCGGCACCATGGGTGGTGTAAGTTGTCAAATGCCAGTCAGACGAGCCCTTTTGTATCCGTGCAGAGGTATCATCGGTCACATAGCTAGCCATCAGGGTAGGGTTGATCCCACTTCCCAGGTAAGTGTAGTGGTCGACACACTCACTCTCTATTGTTAGCCGTGGTGGGGCACCGTTGAAGACCATGAATTCTGGAGTAGCCATTTGCACTTCGGTGGTGAGAAACGCATCTCAAACATTCTCAAATTACAACTCAAAGTCTTCACAAGACTCTGCATCTTGTCAGCATCTTCACCTAACACGACTATGTCATCTGCATATTCTAGGTCTAAGGAAAATTCTCTTGTGATTAGGTCAACGTCTGTGTAATCAGGTGAAGAGAAGGAGACCTGCATAAGAATATCTATGATAAAATTGAATAAGAATGGAGAGAGTGGGCACCCTTGAACGACACCACTTGATGAACACATCTCCTCGGACACCTCTTCATAGGCTCTAACACGCCTACCTACAAGTGTTCGAGTAGAGAGCCTTCAATGAGGTGATGTACTTACTCGGCATGTCTTTCAGTGAGAGACATTGCTATAAGACTTCTGGATCGATGGAGTCGAATGGTACCTTCAGTTTGAGAAATAAAACAGGTGTTGTCAGGCGTCGGTCGGTATTTGTGTCTGTGTTCCGAAACCTGGTGCAGTGCGAATATATAGTCAATACAGGAGATATAAGCTGAAGTTGCCACAACTCAGCGTAGTAGTAATAAACAAGGAACGGGTGAATAATGAACGACTGATATGATAATCGACAAAGTTGTATGACAGTATAAACAATCGGTCATTAAGCCCACTGGGGCCTGGTCGGGTGTCTTCAACCATCTAACAGCTATCGGTCTGTCTTTCGCATCTATATTCTCAAAAAAACCACAGCATATGTGACAGCTTTTGAGTGAAATAAATCGACTAGGGTTCGAACTTGTGAAGCATTGGTTTAAGAAAAGTAAATATTTCAAGCATTGAAAAAGTGCTTAAAACTGAGAAATACTCAGTATCTATTATATCTTATCCTGAGGTCATTGTATATCTCATTTTTTGATTGATTCAGAACTTATGACCTTATGATCTTTTGAGCAAAATATCTTTCTCCTTGAAAATTGATGCTAATTTGGCTGACTACTGAATACATATTATTGTGAAACAGTAACAAATGTAACCACATAGAATCTCATGAGTTCATTGTTACTATTTTGTTGACCTTGTGACTTTTTTGTGTATTCGATCAAAGAACTCACTTAACCAATCTATGCACTCAAATTATCTTCAACGCTATTGGTTCATATTTCTTGGCCAATAACGTTTGACTTATATAATTAATTATCTGTATATAGTACATATAGTATTCACGTTTTAGGTATAAATTTTCACTGGTATCATACAGTAGAACATCATAGTCATTACTTGATATGACTATGAAAGTGTAAGGGAATAGTACAAGCGAAAGGTAATGAGAAGACCGAGAGGAAGGATGGAATTTTTTTTGGTAACATGTGGTACAGTAGCCATTAAATATGATACACCTTGCACTAAAATCGTCATTTGTAAAGTGTGCTTCATTTTCTCTTCTGCTTTTCTATTGACTCGCTCTTCATATGCCTGCGTTTCTCTTGACAGAACTCTTACCCATTCTGCCACCCTCTCAACATATACTACTTATATCCATTCCTATCAGCAACGCCCACTTCACCAGCATGCTCCCTTTTTGACCACGTTTAATCGATTTTTAGTACTTTGAGAAAACTTTCCTTGATATTTTAAATCATTATTTTATGTTTCGCTCCGTGTTAACTTAAGTTGTTTCTTTCCCCGGTATTATCTTATTTCAAGCTATGCTTACCCTGAGGTTAAGCGACACTAAACACGATCGATATTCACGACCTGATCGAATGGTCAACCAACCTTACCCTAGGAAATACACATAATTGACTTGGTTGTGGCTAACAATGGCATCGAGTTTGATACGTCTTTTGTCGTATTTAGGACTCTCCAGCTGAAGGCACCTGCCCTCCCCCCCCCCACCTTAGTGAGTAATGTTGTTCCTACTGAGACTTGTATCGACCACTCCAAACGTGAAAGCGCTATTCACTAAATCACTGAACCACAATAGCCACCTCTTGTACACTGGATGTTAATTGTTACTATTTGTTGAGATACTTGTAAATAGAACGAGCGTCAAGATGGATTCCACTCCTAGCCGCAACGAAGTCAATTATGACAATAATTATTCAGGTAATATATATCAAGGCATCCGCATATCAGGAGCGCATATGACAAACGAAATCGTCTCTAGCCTCTTTATACGTCCAGTCTTCCACAGTCATATCTCAGTGTGTTACATAAGGTAGATTGTTGCAAAGTATATACTTCCCTTTCGCTAGGAATTGTCATTTATCTTACATTCACCGGATATGTGTAGTGCAAGTTAAGGAATTATGAATCATCATCATGAGTATCAACATAGGACCAGGCATTGCTGTGTAACGGTCCAACTTGCCACATCTCATATCAGTACATCAGGTAGAAGGATGAAGATAAGAGAATGCAGTCAAAAGAAATACAAAGTACGAGAAGAGAGAAAGGAAGAATGACAAAATAGTGAGAATCGGTATAGCGTCGTTAAGATGAGGATAATGTGTGCATACATCTGTACCACTGACATCGGTTCTCAGCCATGTGATCACCTAGAGTCAGTCTCCAACCACTGGTTCCCCTAGTCCTGCGGACCCCAATAATTAAGTCTGCATCGTCCTACATGGCTCAAACCAACAGTTAGAGACTTCATGCATTGGCCACCTAGGGCCTTTTTCCAGCCTGGGGCTACTTCGATCAACATTGTGTGACTAGGCATACGTAGTACGTGTCCCAACCATCTCAATCCATGAAGGTAACAATATAATATGACAATAATACTGTAAAATATGAAAATAATAACAATATAATAACAATACGATAATGATACAGTGACGGTGGTAGTGTTATTATTATAATTATATAATGGTAATTATAATAATAATATGTACAAAAACGAGATATACTCAGCTACCTTGTGCAGATTCGTGCACTAGGCGTAATGACTCACACTTAATGTATGCCAGTTGCTAGTGATACTAATCTGATTGGCTGCCTGAAACCTTAGAAGGTGGGGAGGGGTTCAAGCCCATGACCCCATGATTGGTATTCAGATGAAAATTCAGGCTTTGGTGGGGGATCCGAACCAAAGACCACGCAGAGGTTACCGACCCCGCTTCAACTAACATGCAATTTTTGCGCATACGTGCCAATATCGATTAAATTGTATAGAAATTAAGTGAATCCATTCAGTGTGTTAACCACCCTACCCCACCAAACCTTGACGCCGTTGCTTTTGCCTCTTGTATGGATATGAAAATTATTTTCATCCAGGTCCAGGAACATAGGCATGCTCATAGACGCCCGATAATAACTGTATTTCTCGACTTGAAGGCACCATTCGACTCCATTGATCCAGAAGTCTTATAGCAATGTCTCTCACTGAAAGACATGCCGAGTAAGTACATCACCTCATTGAAGGCTCTCTACTCGAACACTTGTAGGTAGGCGTGTTAGAGCCTATGAAGAGGTGTCCGAGGAGATGTGTTCATCTAGTGGTGTTGTTCAAGGGTGCCCACTCTCTCCATTCTTATTCAATTTTATCATAGATATTCTTATGCAGGTCTCCTTCTCTTCACCTGATTACACAGACGTTGACCTAATCACAAGAGAATTTTCCTTAGACCTAGAATATGCAGATGACATAGTCGTGTTAGATGAAGATGCTGACAAGATGCAGAGTCTTGTGAAGACTTTGAGTTGTAATTTGAGAATGTTTGAGATGCGTTTCTCACCACCGAAGTGCAAATGGCTACTCCAGAATTCATGGTCTTCAACGGTGCCCCACCACGGCTAACAATAGAGAGTGAGTGTGTCGACCACTTCACTTACCCGGGAAGTGGGATCAACCCTACTTTGATGGCTAGCTAGCTATGTGGCCGATGATACCTCTGCACGGATTCAAGAGGGCTCGCGTGACTGGCATTTGCCAACTTACACCACTCATGGTGCCGCCATGATATTCGATTATCTATGAAGGGTGGCGTGTAGTGCACTGCAGTCCACTGTGTTCTACTCTATGACTGTGAATTATGCTCATTGAAGGTGGAAGACATGAGAAGACTTCAAGTGTTTGATCATGGTTGTCTTCGTAGTAGAGGTCGTATTCTGTGGTTTGTCACCACATGAGTAACGCATAAGTCAGGTGTATAGTTTCAGGGAGAAGAAGTCAGTTGATTCAGTCAGTTGACACGGTTATGAACTTTCATTGACTGAGATGGCTTGCTGGGACATGTGTTACGTATGCGATGTCACCCAATTTTGGTCAAAGTAGGTTAAGACTGGAAAACGACCCGAGGTGGCCAGACATGGTATGAGTGTATGAAAATGTGTGACTGTTAGTTTTAGTCATGTGGGGCTATGCAGACTAAATTGTTGGGGTCGGCGGGACAAGAGGAATGAGTGGTTGGAGACTGACTGTAGGTGATCACATGGCTGAGAACCGATGTCAGTGGCACAGATGTATGTCACACATTATCCTCATCCTAACGACTCTATACCGAATCTCACCATTTTCTTATTGTTCCTTTCTCTGTTATAGTAGTTTATATTTCTTTTGGGTGAATTTCCTTATCTTCATGTTGCACTTCACTGGCTTTTTACGTGGTGTAGTGATTTATGAGCTGTGGCAACTCGGACCGTTGCGCGGTAATGCCTGGTCGTATGTTGATATTGATGATCATCATCATCATTGTAGTTATAGTTATCGTAGTTATAATAATACGCATATTATTACTGCCATTACCATCAACGGGAGAAACTTAAAGGAAGGAGCCTCCTTCACCCATCTGGGAAGCACTGGTTCAACTTCAGGCGACACTGACGAGGATGTCAAAGTCAGAATCGGGAAAGCAAAAGAGGCGTTAACTAGCCTGAAACCAGTGTGGAGATCTTCTGCATTACACTCAGCATGTGGAACAACATCCGGATTTTCAACACCAACGTCAAGTCAGTGCTTCTGTATGGTTCACAGACTTGGCGCGTTACGAAAGGCATTTCCAACAATATACAGACATTCATCAACAACTGCCCACGCTGGCTAGTTACTGAAGCTCAGATCAGATGGCCAGAAATAACAAGCAACAAGGAACTCTGACTGGCAACGAACCAACGAAGCAAGAACCTATCGGTGAACAAATATGCAGAAGGAAGTGGAGATGGATTGCGCATACACTGAGAAGGCAGACTGGGGACATCATGCGTCAGGCCAGGTACTCGAGTGGAATCCCCATGGGAAGCGACGAGTTGGACGTTCAAGGGTGGCATGGAGGAGATCGTGCGAGGAAGAAATGAGAGCTTCTGGGTTGTCGTGGAGCCATGTTCAAAAGATCTCAGAGAACAGAGGTCACTGGAGACCTGCTACTGAAGCCCTATGCTCCACTAGGAACCCGAGGGACTAATAATAATAATAATTATAATATTAATAATACTGTCATTACGTGATTGTTGTATTAGTACCATACTACTATTGTCTTTATATATTACGCTATTATAATCGTATTATTATTATTGTATTATATTACTGTTATGATTATGACTATGAACATCAGAATAATGGCCATCCTACTACCGTCATTGCATTATTGTGTCATTGTTATAATACATCACACTACTTTATTACTTTATTATATTGCCGTTACTATTATACATTATTATCATTGTCATATTACGTTATTGTTACTGTCATTATATTATTATTGTATTGTCGTCATATTATGATTATTATTTGTTATTTGTCCCGTGGGTTCCTAATGGAACATATGGCTTCAGTAGCACGTGTCCAATGCGCTCTGTTCTCTGAAATCTTTTGAACGTGGTTCCACGACAGCCCACAAACTCTCATTTCCTCCTCGCACGATCTCCTCTATGTTACCGTCAACTGGGACGACCAACCTATTGCTTCCTATCTAGGTTCCACTCGAGTGACTGACCAGACGCGTGATGTCCCCAGTCTGCCTTCTCAGTGTATGCCCAATCCATCTCCACTTCCTTCTGCATATTTGTTCACCGATAGGTTCTTGCTTCGTTAGTTCGTTGCCAGTCAGAGTTCCTTGTTGCTTGTTATTTCTGGCCATCTGATCTGAGCTTCAGTAACTAGCCAGCGTGGGCAGTTGTTGATGAATATCTGTAGTTTGTTGGAAATGCTTTTCGTAACGCGCCAAGTCTGTGAACCATACAGAAGCACTGACTTGACGTTGGTGTTGAAAATCCGGATGTTGTTCCACATGCTGAGTGCAATGCAGAAGATCTCCACACAGATTTCAGGCTAATGAACGCCTGTTTTGCTTTTCCGATTCTGACTTTGACATCCTCGTCTGTGCCACCTGTAGTTGAAATAGTGCTTCCTAGATAGGTGAAGGAGGCTACTTCCTTTAAGTGTCTCCCATTGATGGTGATTGGTGTTTGTTGTTGTTGGTGGTGGTGTTGGTGTTGGTTGGGTATCTTCATCATCTCTGTCTTCTCTCCATTCGCTTGAAGTGCCTTTGTCGTCATATAGCCATTGTTTTTATATGTTATATATTACTGTTATCATCATATATTGTTATGGTTATCATAATAATAGTAGTCATATTATTGTATCGATATTACATTACCACTGTTTTTATATATATTATTGTCGTATTATTATTATACCATACCACTGTACTCATATATTATTATCATTACTGTTATTATTGTAATCATGATTATCATAATAGGAGTGATCGTATTATTACTGTCATGACATTACTGTTGTGTTCTTATTACGACCACTGTTTTTATATATTATATTATTATCATAGTATTATTATGTTACATTACATTACCGTTATCATCATACTATGATGTTCCACTATCATTACTATTATAATTATGATTATCACAGTGGTGGTAGTCATATTATCACTGTCATTACATTATTGTTGTAATGTTATTATATTACCATTATTTTCATATGATATCGCATTATTATCATTATATAATGTAACTGTTATTACCATACACTTTTATTACTCCTATTGAATTATGAGGGAGTTGTGGAGATTTGGAAATATTTCAAGTTGTTATTCATCGTAGACAGATATCAGTTGTAGGAACAAAGGAAACCTTGGAGCACTGGACAGCTGTTTCGTCCCAGTATGGAACTCCTCAGCAGTGCGCACTCACTTCCTGATGGTCGTGATGATAGTTACTCTAACAATAATATTGGTTGGCGGTTGTGCTATATCGTGAGCTAACAGAAGTTGAAAATAAGGACCAATGTATTCTGACTTAGTAGCTGACTCAATGGGAACGTGCGCTGGCCACGGAACTTTGAAGGTTGTGGGGTTTTGGGTGCGCACTGCTGTGGAGTCAGTCTCATACTAGTCTGACGAAATAGCTGTCCAATGCTCCCACCTTTCCTTTGTTCCTCTCTAATTGATGCCAGTCTACGATGAATAACGACTTGAATTACTATTATTATTATTATTATGTGTTTCTTCTACTCTTCATACAAAGTGAATATCGAAATACACTGGATTATCGGCCGTTAACAAATACAGATGCAATAGACGATCATCAAATTTGTGTATGTGTACGAAAACGTCCAATGAATAAAAAAGGTCAGTAGAGATAGCTATGCAATAAATAATTTTATTTATTTATTATTTATTTAATCATATCCCCATTAGGAAATTTAATAACTACAATAAAATAGATGTCTATTTAAAATATGTAATGTATATTAACGTAATATATTTGAAGCAATCTAACCATATATTTATTTTGAACTTTTGTATTTTTGGGGCCGGATGGTCGAAAGGAAACGACAAGTGAACCAACACCGCCGGCCCGGTAGACCGTGGGGCATGGTGGAGTGTGTTATTTTTGGGGCCGACCTTTTGTAAGCCCCCCCCCTTCCACTGAGAAAGCAGCATCAGCATGGCACTGCTGGTCATCCAAGGGAAACACCTTATTGCTGTCACACCCCATCCAGCTAGCAGCGGTACGACTTCACCCTCACACCCCTATTATAGTGTAGCAATTTACACTATAACGGTAACTGCTTTTCGTCTAACCACTATCCAACAGACCTTTCTGGTATGGTAGGAATTCGAGGGAACAAGCGTTACACCAGAATAGCTCGTTGGGTCATTATGATATGCAAGCCCGACCACCACGTCAAGGTAGCAGCTATCGGTCGGCTCAGAACCGATGTCAGTGGCTCAGATGTATACACACATTATCCTCATCTTAACAACGCTATACCGAATCTCACCATTTTGTTACTCCTGTTTCCTTTCTTCTCGTACTTTATATTTCTTTTGACTGCATTCACTTATCTTCATCCTTCACCTCACTACCTTTTTACTTGATGAACTGACGTGAGATCTGGCAACTCAGACCGTTACACAGCAATGCCTGGTCCTATATTGATAATGATGATGATGATGACCACATATATACAAACATCATGATCATTTGTATGAAAATTAGCCAAATATAGAGGAATTTGAACATTTTATATAGATTTATTTATTCATTCGAGATTAATATTCATTATGAACTGATATTAGTTAAAGGGAGATTAAAAACCTGGAGGCACTAAGTAATCAAACTATTTCGTCCTAGTATAGTACTCCTCAACAGTGCTTACCTATGATTCTTATCTCACCAGGGATCGAACCCAGGATTCTGATATCATTAGGTTGACTTCCAATAGTCCATATTTCCTATTTCATAGATTTTGAAATACTTTTACAAGTAAATGGTCTAGTCCATGATGAAAATCAAGGAAAAAGGTAGTTTTGCTAATAATCACCCTTGATAATAAAAGTGATTTGCCAATGTAGGGGGGGGGCGGTTTATGTAGCTAGAGCTTTAAGAAATCAAAGTGGATACCCACAGTAGGCCCTAGTGTTTGTTTTTACTGAAGTGGGAAGGGGGAGGGGTGTAGTAGCAACTATGAAGATTTAGTTAATGTCGTGTGTATGGTAATTTCCGATAGATGAATCTTGCCGACGAATTATGAGAATATCTAGGAGTGTTAAAAAGTCATCTTTTTGTTTCTTGAACATTTAGGTTATACCACTCTAAGCTTCGTTTATTCGATTAGAAATCGTTATAAGCATCTTCGGGATCCTTCAGTTTAGTATATTTGTTTTCATATGATACCGTCGTTGATTGGACCGAATTGATCGGTCTCTATTGGCATACGGGCCCCTGTGCGGATACCTCGATATTACCAGTGTTTTAATTATGTTAATGATGGATCGTGGCTAGCAGTGGAATCCAGGATGCGCATTTCGTTCTATTTGAGACTCACTGGTCAGTTGGATGTACCTGCTTCCCAGTGAGTGATGTTGTTCCCACCGGGATTTGGACTCGGGAGCGATCGCTTCAAACGCCAGCGCGTTATCCACTACACCACCGAGCCACGATAGCCACTTCTTGTACGAAGGGTACAGTTCTTAGTATATGATTGTTTTTATATGATACCGTCTTTGATTGAACCGAATTAATCGGTCTCTATTGGCAGGTACATCCAGCTGACGAGTCTTAAATAGGACGAAATACGCATGCTGGATTCCACTGATAGCCACGATTCATCATTATCATCCTTCAGTTTATCCTATATCATGATAATGTTATTCACACGTATTTTCATCATTGATATCTTCGTTTGATAGAATCATTGTGTGAACAATATTGAGGTTAGGCGAAGGATACTAGACAAGATAGGCGAGTTGTTTGATAAGGCGCTGAACCTTTGTCGTTTTAAATGGCTTGAAAATCTGTTGCACATGTCAAGTTACCGCCTACATCGGATGTCTATGTTAGGATGGAAAAACGGTTCAGGATAGCCGACCAGATCAAGACATGACATCTGTCGATAAGGTTGAGGATTTTTTGTGTCAAAGTTGGAAATAAGTCACAGTGACGTAGATATATATTCATTCCTTGATATCGTCTAAACCTTGAATGTTTGCACTAACTACTGTCTTCAGATTGTTTATTCTTTTCACTTTGTTATAACTTTATCTGTATATTCACCTATTCTTTGCATGGTTACCACGTTGACCACGTATGACAATAGGAACCATTGATACACTTCCGTGTAATGTTCTATCTGGCTATCACTAAAAGTTAATCCTTTTGCAATTTTATAGTCAGTAGACAATGATTTGATAAATTTTTATCAGTGTATACAATAAGGACATTTGAATATTAATTGAATGGAAACAATTGGCAAAAAACTATGAACCAAGATTTTATGCCTTTTTAATACTAGTCAGTATGGTGTATTAACAACCTTGATAAAACTGTTACCCACGCTTGAGATTTGAACTTGTATCATACAGTGTTGCATTCACTGACATGAATACTGATCTATCTACACTGAGATTGATTTTTTGTGGGAGTGAGTTATTTTCTCAAGGCATTTATTGTGATTTATTATTTGTCCTTTAAGTTCCTAGTGAAACATAAGGCTTCACTAGCTTATAGCCATTTCACTCTCTTCTCGCTAGTCTTCTCTCTTAACCTGGCTTCACAACTACCCATAAGTTTTCATTTCTTCCTCATACTATCTCCTCCATATCACCTTCGGACGCCCATCTCATCCTTTCCCATTTGAGTTCTACTAGAGGGTTTGGCTTGGTGCGTGATCTCCCCAAACCATTCTTTCAGTGTATGCTCGATCCATTCGCACTTCCCTCTGGATATTTATTGGACGGTAGCTTCTTCGTTGGTTCGTTGTCAGAATAAGTTTCTGGTTGTTTATTCTTTTTAATCTTCTCATTTTATCTTGAGTGTCGAGTGAGCATAGGCGGTAGCTGTTGATGTATGCCTGTAGTTTGTTGGAAATGCTTTTCATAACGTACCGAATCTCTGAACCATCACATAGAAGCATTGCCTTGATTGGCTTACTGTTGAATATCCGCATCTTGTTTATGCCTTATATTGAGTGCATTAGATCTCCATACTGATTACAAATTAATCCAGGAAGGCCTGTCTTGCTGTCTTTCCGATGCTGGTTGGCTTTGATATCTTCATCTGTGCCTATGCTGCCTAGATATGTAGGTAGTTAGGTGAAAGCGACAACTTCGTTTAGATTTCTCCGGTTGATGGTGATTGATACTTGTTGTTATTGGTTAATTATCTTTCTCACCTGTGTCCTCTCTACGTTCACCTGAAGGAAGTTCCGTCTTCACTGCCTATTCACTACCTCTTCTGCCAACTTGTTGGTTTTCGCCTGAAGGCACTAGACTACATGAAGTTGATTATCCTTCATTAGAAGCTCACTTAAAGGTACTTATTCAAGATTACTTATGTGGTGTGAGTGTTATTGTGTAAATTGATCTGATATTTTCATCCTCTATATGTCAATCTTTTCATTCTCTTATAAAATATGACAGAATTATACAGAATAACCTACTTCGTATCAGTTGTATATTATATAACCTTGTTGTCTCATATCTTTCTTTTCTGCCCCCCTCCCCGCCTTTCTACCTATCTCACTTCCATTCCTAACCCTAACAGAGCTTAGTCGTCGTGAAATAGATGTGATTACAGTACCGAATAAACAGCATGTTCTTGTTCATGAACCGAAAACTAAAGTTGATTTAACCAAGTATTTGGAGAATCAACAATTTCGTTTCGATTATGCATTTGATGATACATCAGATAATGAGCTTGTAAGTTTCTATATTATAATACCATTATTATTATTATTATTTCGACTATTTGAGTTAATAGCTGTGGTTTTTCAGACTAGTGTTTATACTGGATGATGATTGAAGGCGAAAAGAAAGAAATTGGACCCCGGTAGGATTCGAACCAGAGACTAACAGGTTCCCACTGATCTCTGGTTTGAACCCCGCCACGGTCCAATTTTTTTTCATTTCGCCTTCACTGGTCGCCCAAAGTGAATTATTATTATTATTTTAAAAGTAGTATTCACCATGGACTGACATCAGTTGGGGAAGCATTGGAAATCTGGAAGCACTAGACATATGTTTCGTCCTAGTATAGGACTCCTCAGCAGTACGCACCCACGACCTGGCTAGGGATCGAACTCAGGACCTTCAGGTTTTACGGCGAAGGCGTTAACCATTCAGCCATTGGGTCATGAATTGACAGAAGTTGGAAATTGTGAACCACCAGCCAGGTTGTTGTTGCGTACTGCTGAGGAGTCTTATACTAGGACGAAATAGCTAGGTGTCCAGTGCTCCCAAATTTTCAATAGTTCCCCAATTGATGTCAGTCCATGATGAATACTACCTCTAAAATAAAGAAAATCCCCATTCATGTCAAAAATGCATTAATATTATTACAGTGTGTGTTAAATTTTGAGGGGTTGTGGAGATTTGGAATTATTTCAAGTTGTTATTCAGTCTTCGATGAATAACAACTTGAAACAGTGTGTGTTGTTGTTACTGTCTGGCTTTACAACAAAATTATGTCTTATGGATTTTCACATACATATTTCAATGGAATGTGTTTAGTTTCATACGAATAAAATATTTTGTCCAAAATTGTACCATTTTTTCCTACCATCGAACAATAAGTGTAAGTTTGTTTTTAAAACTATTTCAAGGTATACATTAAACTGCACGCAACTAAATTGTATACATTTGAGTAGTAGTAGTAGTAGTAGTAGTAGTAGTAGGCAATGATGTGAAGGCTAGTTTTACTACCACCTGACTGTTCAAACCTCCGTAAGTGTATTGGTGTTCGGATCCGTGACCCACTGGTTGAAAGTCATCTCAGAATGAACGAAACTCATGCAAACGAACCGGGCAGCATCTATTGTATGAAGGCTAATAGTACTATCTGAACGACTGAGATGGTTGGAACACGTATTACGTATACCTAGTCGCCGTCTGCGTCGTCACATAATGTTGGCCAAAGTAGGTTCAGACTGGAAAAAGACCCGAGGTGGCCAGACTAAAACATGACATCAATGTATGAAGTCTTTGACTGTTAGTTTTTAAGCCATGTGGGGCGATGCAGACTAACTGATTGAGGTATGCAGGACAAGAGAAAGCAGTGGTTGGAGACTGGCTGAGAACCGACGTCAGTGGCACAGATGTATGCACATATTATCCTCATCTTAACCGCACTATATCGAATCTCACCATTTTCTCATTGTTCCTTTCTCTGTTATAGTAGTTTATATATGTTTTGGGTGAATTTCCTTATCTTCATGTTGCACTTCACTGGCTTTTTACTTGATGTGCTGATATGAGGTGTGGCAAGTTGGACCGTTATGTAATGCCTGATCCCATGGTGATTTGGATGGAATGAGCTGTCCAAACCTCTGTAGGTAGAGAGAGAAGTACTCGAACCCGTGACCCAGTGGTATATAGTCATTGCCGTAAACCACTAAGCCACAACTCTGCAAAGCTGCACCTAGTTTGACGATGAACTATACCATACTAAACTTTAGTATTCGTATGTGTATGTGTATTGTAAGCTATAAAGCACATTGATTGTGTGAGGGTTTTTAATACTGCCAAATATATCGGTTGATTTAGGTGAAATAGAGTTTAAACCTCTACCTGACTGCTTAAGAAGTTATATGTTCGAGCTAATGAGTTGGATCTGCATCTTATTGCCTAAACCTTGGTAGGTTTATATCCTTTTATTTGGCTGTGAGACATGGCCGTTAAGAGTAGGAGACAAGAAGCGGCTGCGGGGTTTTGATCATAGATGTCTTCGTAGCATTGCTCGTGTTTGGTGGAACCACCATGTGGGAAATGTAGAAGTCAGATGAAGGGTAATAGGCAAGATAAGCAAGTCGATTGATGAGGTTGTGAACCTTAGTCGATTGGGATAGCTTGTTTATGTACTGGGGATACCGAGCCACCGCCTACCTCGATGTGCCGTGGTAGGGAAAGTTGGGTTAGGATGGGAAAAGGTTGAGGGTAACTAGGTCAAAACGTGGCATCAGTTGATGAAGTCCTTGACTGTTTTCATGAACCGTGTTTAGGTATGTAGACTACTATAACCAAAGACTTTTTTCTGCATTTTTCTCTCACCTCTCTGTTTCTAATCTCACTTGGAATATGCAGACGATATTGTCCTACTAGGTGAAGGCGCTGACGAAATACAAGACATTCTGAACGCCTTGAGCAGAAATCTGTGTATGCTTGGCATGCGTTTCGCATCTGTCAAATGATGGTGCCGAGGGACTGCTGTTCAACAACTCCTAGCTTAGCGATAGGAAGTAAAGTAGTATGATGTGTTGACGACTTCACTTACTTGGGGAGTTGCATCAACCCGAACGGGATGGTTGCTGACGAAATTTCAGCTGCGATACACAAGGCCTGTTTGGTATTTGCCATCTTTTGTCACCTGTGGTGCCGACTGGCTGGATATCCGACTATCTATGAAATGACGAGAATAGTACTGTTATACGGCTGTGAGACATTGCCGTTGAAAAGAGAAGACATAAAGTGGTCACAGCGTTTTGATCACAAATGTCTTCGTAGCACTGCTTGCATTTGGTGGAATCAGACTGTGAGCAATGTTGAGGTCAAGAGAAAAGAACCAGTCGATCGACGAGGTTGTGAACCTTCATGGACTGAGATGGCTTGGAGATGTACTTCACAGGCCTAGCTACCGCCTACCTCGACGTGTCATACTATGGGAAATTTGAATAGGATGGAAAAGAATTGTTGTCTCAAGGCCCAAGACCTGGCACCAGTCGAAAAAGTTTCTGACTGTCGGCTTGAGCTACGTGCAGAAATATAGACTGCCTGGTTGGGATCCCCGAGATGATAGGAATCAGTGGTTGAGGAATTTTTGCTGATATCTATTCATAAAAATGTAGTTCATTGATTCAGGAACCTAACATTCACTCATTTGGTAATAGGTTTCAATGATGATTTCAACTAAATGGGTCATAGGTCCAAACTTCACTGCGCTTACTGAGGTTCGGTTAGTCGAACACACGTTAGGCGTAACTCTTTGCCTACTCTACAGGAATGAATGTACACAAGGTTGCTAAGTGGATTTCGATAGAATGACTATACAGCTCAGTTATCCTATCCTCTGGCATTATGATTCCACAGTAAGTTTGACAATTATTGAGTTTAATTTTGAGGGAGTTGCGGAAATTTGGAAATATTTTAAGTTGTTATTCATCGTAGACTGTCATCATCTGGAGGAACAAAAGGAAAGGTGGGAGCACTGGACAGCTGTTTCGTCAGACTAGTATGAGACTGACTCCTCAGCAGTCCGCACCCACAACCCCACCAGGGATCGAACCAGCGACCTTCAAATTCCGTGGCCTGCGCGTTGTCATTGAGCTAGCCACTGGGTCAGAATCCATTGGTCCATATTTCTAACTTGTGTCAGCTCACAATATAGCACAACCGCCACCTAATGTCATCGCTGCAGTAACTGTCCTCATTACCTGAGAAGTTCCATACTAGGATGAGACAGCTGTCCAGTGCTCCCAGGTTTCTTTTGTCTACAATGAATAACAACTTGGAATTGTTGAGTTGTTTATTGAACTACTAGTCTCCGTGGATTTGATGTTTGTTTGAACAGTCAACTTTCACATAATCAGTCTATTCCATCGTGTAGCTTAAAAGGCACCTATACAGCAACCTATGGATTACTTCAAAAATAGTCTTCTATAAATTGATTTACTTTTAATAGTGGTAGATGGCAAAAAATAATTCAACGCTGAGTAATTAATCGACTTGTAATCTGTATAATTTCACCTGGATTGATTTCACTGACATCTTTTTTTGTAGGTTTATCGGTATACAGCTAAACCTTTAGTAGAATGTATATTTCAACGTGGTATGGCGACATGTTTTGCTTATGGTCAAACTGGTTCTGGCAAAACGCATACTATGGGAGGTGAATTTCATGCTCGAGGTCAACAGAATTGTTCAAATGGAATTTATGCTCTAGCAGGTAAACTTTGTTAATATTATTGATTTTATTGGTTATCGATTTTCATCATAGCTTAGATTGTGTTACTCGAAAGAAGTATATTGACATCTTTTACTTGTTTGTATCACCACTTGGATAACACACTGACTGCTGCACTCACCCTTGGCGGCGAGCCTTTGGAAGTAGTTGAGAAGTTTGTGTATCTGGGTGGTTGTATGAGTGATGAGATTTATAACCGCATATCGAAAACCAGAGTGGTATACGCTAATCTTGGTCACCTTTAGCAGCGTCTCAACGTTATTCTGACCATAAATAGTCGGGATTACAACGCTTCGATGCAAGGAGTCTTGTTCTACACCTGTGAAACCTAACCTCTCCAAGCTGAGGATGTTCGATGACTCTGTATGTTCGATCATCGTTGTCCGTAGGATTACTCGTATCCGGTGGTAAAATTGTATATGACAGCGTGTGTTTGGGTATAATGGATATGGTCATTCGTCTTCGATGGTTTGGTCGTGTGTTATCCATCTCATGTCAACGACTTCCTTACCGTTGATTGTTTGCTGGCCTTAGGTCAGTGTATGACATGGTGCTGTGGGATGAAGGATAGTTGTATCGGGTTGCTATCTGCTGATGCATGACGACCCCCTTGGTGGAGTCGTAGAGATCAAATATGGCTGAGAATGGAAATGAGTAGCTTTCTTCTATCTTTTTCTGGTAGAGATATTTATGGTATACTCATCTTGGTGACTAGTAGTGGGATCGAGAATGCTCCTCGTTTCTTCCTATTCGGTATTCATCGGCTGCACCTAAGTTGATGATGTTGTTCTCACTGAGACACGAATCCATTTACCGATCGATTCAAATACCAAAACATTATCCACTAAGCCAATGGGGGCATAACCATCATACACGTTTTACTAGTCATTATAGTTTAGTCTCATTTTTCCCTCTTTTTTTCTTTTATTTACAGCGGCTGATGTTTTCAATTTGAATGCTACCATGTATAAAAATGAGAATCTTCGAGTTGAGGCTGCATTTTTTGAAATATACAGTGGAAAGGTATGTTCGTAATGCTATTCAGTTCTCCTTATCTCTATTGAATATATTGACTTGTTTGTTCAATATAAGCACACACACACACACACACACACAAACATACATGAACAGCATATCTATGATTGGATTGTTTTTCATCCTGAAGTATTTCACAAAAACAACCGAGTTCTCTGTGTGTGTGTGTGTGAGGGGGGGGGGCTTGAACATTATTGTAGTAGAATCGACTATTTACTGGCATTACCTACTACTATGACTACTATCTCTCTATGTAATCTTCTCAATGTTTACCACTATTAGCTTTGAGTAAAGAGTCAGATGGTATATTGATTGATTACTGGAGGGTAACCAACTTCTTGTCACCTAGTCCTGTATGGTGATCGACTTATTATTATGTCAGGGTTAATAATATGTAGAAAGCATATTTATATATTCCCTTCGTTTTATACAAGCTTCTCTCAGCGATTAGGCGATTCCTTTCAACTTTTGACATTGTTAGTAGGAGAGAAAGCTTGTAGTCTAGTGAGAATTGTTTTCCCAACTTTTCCCATCTCTCTAAATGGTAAGAAATAATAATTCGTAGATGTTCAATGAAAATATAAAGTTTATTTCAGTACTGAATGTTCGTTGGTAAAATTGGTCTCCATGGTTATAGATTGGCTAATTTGGATGAGAAAAGGAAACACTACAGGCATGATAGCTGATGCATAAAGAATAACATCCAGACTTCAATACTAAGCCAGTTAAGTCAGTACTTCTATATGGTACAGAGACTTGACGCATTATGAAAAGCATCTCCAACAAACTACAGATATACATGAACAGCTGCTGCCCACGCTCACTCAATACTGAAGAAGAAGATCAGATGACCAGAATAATAAGCAATAAGGAACTCATTCTGTCAACGAACCAACAACCCAATAAATATACAGAAGAAAAAGTAGATGGATTGGATTATACATACAATGAGAAGACGATTTAAAGATATAACGCTCCAGGCTAGGCACTCGAGTGGAACTCATATAGGAAAGGACAAGTTGGGCGTCCCAACTGAGGGTGACATGGAGGAGATGGTGTAAGGAAGAAATGAAAGCTTCTATAGGCAATGATGGAACCAGTTTAAGAAAGAAGACTGCAAATAGCAGAGTGAAATGGCTATGTTCTACTGAAGCCCTATGTTACGTTAAGAACCCAAGGACGTTATTCCCCACATAGATCTTAAAGACTTCGAGTGGGAGAGGGGAATCTTCAAAATGTTCTACTCAATTTAAGTTCAGGGTTTCTTACCGATTGCCTCCATCCACATAACATTAGTCAGAGATGAAAGACAGATAAATAGATACATATAATAATGGTAAATGTCAATCTGGTATTCATCAGGGACGGGGAGTGCTGGACAGCCGTTTCACCCTAGCATGAAACTCTTCAGCAGTGCACATCCAGGACTTTGAGATTTCGTAATCGGCGCATTGTCGTTGAACAAGCCACTGGGTCGGAATCCATTAATCCATATGAACTATTATATTCTGAATTACTGGCTTGTTCAATAGTAACGTACTGACTGCGAGACCTAATGGTCATGGGTTCGATCCCTGGAGGCAGGTGGTCATTGCTGTGCATTGTTGAAGAGTTCCATACTAGGATGAAAAAACTGAGCTACGAAATCTGACTGCTGATCATAATTTTATTTTAGTGGAACCGTGTGGCTCAGTTAGTAGAGCACAGGCCGCGGCCCATATTTTCATCTCACCTTCAATCATCATCCAGTAGAAATAATATTAGTATTCAGGATGATGTTCAAACACTTATAGACTACTTACTGTCTACCACTACAATTTTTCTATTAGAGCAATAAGTAATTACATGATAATGATGGATAGTGACTAATAGCATAATCCAGAATGTGCATTTCGTACTATTTGGGACTCGTCAGCTATAATCAAAACACAGGTAATATCGAGGGTTCCGTATAGGAGTTCATATACCAATAGAGACCGATCAATTCGGTTCAATCAACGATGAAGTAATACGAGTAACAACACTAAAATTATATCCATCGCATAAGAAGTGGCTAGCATGGCTCTGTCCCGAGTTCGAACCACGGTGGGGACAGTATCAGTCATTGGGAGGCAGTTACATCCAGTTGATGAGTCCCAAATAGGATGAAATGCGCTAGCCGCCATTCATTCTTGCTATAATTAAAACGCAGGTAATATCGAGGCATCTGTATAAGAGTTGATATGCCGATAGAAACCAATGAATTCGATCCAATCAACGACGGTACAATATAAGCAATAATACTAAGTAATCAGAATATAGCCTAGAAATAAACCAAACTTTCATCATTGCTATGACCAGATAGACAGTATAAAAGAGTAGATGAGCACATATTGAAAGGTCAATGAATTCATGGTAGTAGTAAAGCTTTGAAAAAGGTATCATCCACAGTATTAACTACTTCAGTATGAAGTAGTGCGTTGTCAATATCTCTATGTCAGTGATTTAGTAACTCCTCTTGGCGAACTGGTTTGTGATTGGTTATTTTCTTTGATTGTTGTATCATTGACTGATTGCATAGATTTTCCTATTGACTATTCGTTCGTCTGCTTGACCTCTCAAGTTTCTATCGTTTATCATTTATCTAATTGGTTGATTTATTGGGTCTATGTCTATACGTTTGCTGACTGACTGAGCTGAATGCCACGCTTCTAGGAATTCTCTTTGTATTTTCTCTCTCCGTCCAAAATTTCTACATTATCAAAATTGACTTCATGTCCATAGTTGTCATCCATGTGCATTGAGCGATGTGTGGTGAAACGTCCTGACGTTTAATAGCCACCTTCATCTACATGAAAACCAACGTCACGACGTTTCATCACACATCGCTCATGCACATGGATGACAACTATGGACATGAAGTCAATTTTGATAATGTAGAAATTTTGGACGGAGAGAGAAAATACAAAGAGAATTCCTAGAAGCGTGGCATTCAGCTCAGTCAGACATAGACCCAATTTATCAACTAATTAGATAAATGATAACCGATAGAAACTTGAGAGGTCAAGCAGACGAAGGAACAGTCATTAGGAAAATCTATGCAATCAGTCAATGATACAACAATCAAAGAAAATAACCAATCACAAACCAGTTCGCCAAGAGGAGTTACTAAATCACTGACAGAGAGATATTGACAACTTATAGCAAGAATGAATGGCGGCTAGCGCATTTCATCCTATTTGGGACTCATCAACTGGATGTAACTGCCTCCCAATGACTGATACTGTCCCCACCGTGGTTCGAACTCGGGACAGAGCCATGCTAGCCACTTCTTATGCGATGGATATAATTTTAGTGTTGTTACTCGTATTACTTCATCGTTGATTGAACCGAATTGATCGGTCTCTATTGGTATATGAACTCCTATACGGAACCCTCGATATTACCTGTGTTTTGATTATAGCTGACGAGTCCCAAATAGTACGAAATGCACATTCTGGATTATGCTATTAGTCACTATCCATCATTATCATGTAATTACTTATTGCTCTAATAGAAAAATTGTAGTGGTAGACAGTAAGTAGTCTATAAGTGTTTGAACATCATCCTGAATACTAATATTATTTCTACTGGATGATGATTGAAGGTGAGATGAAAATATGGGCCGCGGCCTGTGCTCTACTAACTGAGCCACAAGGTTCGACAAAAATAAAACTATGGTCAGCAGTCAAATTTCGTAGCTCAGTTGGTAGAGCACCGGGCCGGTAACCCGGTGATCGCTGGTTCGAATCCGGCTACGGTCCAAATTTTCATCTTACCTTCAATCATCACCCAGTATAAATACTAGTCTGCTGAACTACGGCTATCTCAGATAGTCAAATGACAACTAATATTGACGTTTGTGGTAACTAGACTATATCATTAGCCACTTTATTCATAATGTTTTGATTGATTCTCTGAAGTGTGAACTGTGATGATATACTTCTCTCCAAGAAGCTGTGTTAGAGAATGACTGGCCATCAAGATTTACAGCAAAAAATATGATAGGGAATAAGATTGTGGAACAGATACAATCAGTTCCAAGGAAGCACATTTCAACTAACCCCATAACAAGACTTCAGTTCACTAGAAATCAACCCGAACCTGAAGGGGATGTAGATGTCAATCGTCCCACTCTTCTTGAAGTTGAAAAGGCTGTGTTGAGGCTGAAACGATAAAGAGCAACAGTACTTGATAGTTTGCCACGTGAAGTTTTCAAGGATGGATGTAGGACATTGCTGATTAGAGTGATGGTGGTACTAAGTAGTAGTGTATGCGAATCAGAGATAGTCTCATCAGGCTAATGTATTTCTCTGATCATCCTAGTCTATAAGAAGGGGAGGGGAGAATCTCAAAAAAACCAGGTAGATTTTAGACCTGGACGAGGGTGCGTTGATCATATTTTCACCATTCGACAGATTCTGGAACTTAGGCCAACTCACCATTGACGGACACTTCTCACATTTCTTGATGCGATGGTGGCGTTTGACTCAGTCGACCGTGAAGTGTTGTGGCAATATCTGGTTATGATGAGAGTACCGAGCAAGTATATAATACTTATCAAAGCTCTCTACTCGAACTCACGTAGCCGTGTAAGAGCTTGTGGCGATGATTTGTATGAATTGACAACAACTAGTGATGTCCATCAGGAGGGATGTTCGGTGTTACCGCTCCAATTTAACTTCGTCGTAGACACACTTCACAAGGGTTGATCTACTCCTTGTTGGTCATCTGGTTCACCTGGATTAAGCACAGGATATTGTTGTGCTAAGTGAAGACGTTGGCGCCCTTATAACACTAGCCAATTTGCATCGTTTGGGGCACTGACTGAAGAGATATCCAATTATCTATCAGAGGATGGGTATTACCACTTTACAGACCATTCTGTCCTCTTATGTGGCTGTAAAAGACATGACCGTTAAAAGTAGAAAACGCAAAGCGGTGACATTGTTTTATCAAACTTGTTATCATGTTTGCTGGAATTACCTTGTAAGCAGTTTCGGGGTCAGATGAAGGGTTCTAACCAAAGAAGATAAATTAGTCGATGAGGCTGTGAACTTTGATCGACCGAAGTAGCTTGGATATGTGTTGTGCATACCGAGTCATCTCCAATCTCCAACTGTTATGCTAGGGGAAAATGGATTAGATTGGAAGAGGGTTCACAGTAGCCGGTCAGACCAAGACGTGGTACCTGTTGATGAAGTTCCTGACTATTGGTCTGAGTCGTGTAGGGACATGTACACTGCTAGGTTAGGGTCCCTAAGGTGATATAGATGACAGCTGGTTGTAGTGATGCAGATGTACTTACTCCCTGACATAGTCGCACTAACCGTTATCTTCAGATTGTGTATTCTCTCTCTCTCTCACACACACACATACTATCACAGTGAAGCGTGGAGACTTGAGGTGACCCACTTGTGTGTTCGAAGTTCCACGTTAATTTTATCAGTCAGTCAGAGTGTGTTCTGTTTCTGTACATGGCTATAAAACATGACCATCGAAGGTTTCAGATTTGAGATCATTTCTTCTTATTTTGATCATCGCTCTCTTTGTAACATCGTTTACTGTGTATTAGGGCAACAGCCATATGCTAGTACACAAGTTGAATAGACAAGAGAAATTAAACAATGAAGTTATAAACGTGTGTGTTACTAAAGTGACTAATTTATCTGTTTCTCAGTAATTTTTAACAACTTTGCATAAATTACGATATGGATAATTGGATTCTGACCCAGTGGCTAGCTCAATGGTAACGTGGTGGCCACGGAACCTAAAGGTCACGGGTTCGATCCGGGTAGGTCGGGGTCGTGGGTGCGCACTGCTGAGGAGTCAGTTCCATACTAGTGTGACGAAACAGCTGGCTGTCCAGTGCTCCCACTTTTCCTTTGTTCCCTCTAACTGATGTCAGTGTACGATGAATAACAACTTGAAATATTTCTAAATCTCTACAACTCCCTCAAAATTCAATTGAACTGGTGCTCATTGGTGACTAGTTTCGAGAGGTAATCCTGAAGTTCCAATGAGAAGTCGTGACCGGTCGGGGGTAAAGCCTGATGGTCATGAAGATGGTTACTCAACAATATGGACCAATGGATTCTGACCCAGTGGCTAGCTCAATGGTAACGTGGTGGCCACCTACCTGAAGGTCGCGAGTTCTACCCGGGAGGTCGGGGTCGTGGGTGCGCACTGCTGAGGAGTCAGTCCCATACTAGTCTGACGAAACAGCTGTCCAGTGCTCCCACTTTTCCTTTGTTCCTCTCTAACTGATGTCAGTGTACGATGAATAACAACTTGGAATATTTCCAAATCCTCACAACTCCCTCAAAATAACATTATTATTTATTGCTTATTCCTATCAATAGGTATTTGATCTTTTAAATAAGAAGGCAAAACTGAGAGTATTAGAAGATGCAAAAGGTCAAGTACAAATAGTTGGATTACGTGAAGAAGAAGTGAATTCAGTTGATTGTGTTTTAAAACTTTTACAACATGGTGCACATATTCGAACTAGTGGCCAAACATCGGCAAATCAACATTCAAGTCGTTCACATGCTGTTTTCCAAGTATGTTTATTATTATTATTATTATTATTATTATTTGATATTAAAGTGTGTCTGTTTTGTTCTAAACGTCCACGGAGTTGCCGGATTTCTCCATTCCTCATTAACTTTACCATCGATGACATTCTTTAGACGGCTCTGATGGAAGGTGCATGATGGTTAGTGTAGATCTACTATCCAGATAATGTTTGTTCCGACGTTGAATATGCAGACGATATTATCTTACTGAAGTGGCATTTAGTCAGTTGGTGATTGGTGTCTGTAAGTATAGTATGTGCTTTTCACCATTGAAGTACAAAGATTGACCGAAGCCTATGTCAACAGTCACCCTAGGTGATAGTGAGCCGTTAGAAGTAGTCGAGAAGTTTATGTATCTAGATAGTTGTGTGAGTGATAACATTGGTAACCACATGTCAAAAGCCTGAATGGTATCCGTCAATGTATGTCACTTTTAGCGCTGTCACTGTCGTTATTACACGCGTTTGTTGGAACCACCATACGAACAATTTTGATGTCAGGTGAATGGTAATAGGCAAATCGATTAATGAGACTTTACAACTTCATCATCTGAGTTAGCTTGAAAATGTGTTGCTTATGCCAAATCACCACATATCTCAGTGTCTGATGGTAGATGAAGTTGGAGGATGACCAGACGAAGACATGGTGTCAGTCGATGAAGTCCTCTGACTGTTGGTCTGAGTCGTGTGAAGAGATGTAGGTTGCCTACCGTGTTTCCTTGAGATGGAAGGAGTTAGTGGTTGAGGAGTCTTGGTGAAGTGGCTGATAATCGATCAGAATGGCGCAGGTGTATTCTCTCGTTAACACCTAAGCTTGAGTATGTACACTAACCTTTTGCTTCAGATTGTTTATTCTCTCCGACAAATTTGTCTATTACTACGTTGGGATGTGGCAATTTGAGCCTATGCACTCCTTTATCGACTATATATTCGTACTGCGTCAGGTTTTGGAACACGCACTTACCGATACTCGACAATAGCTGTATTTCTCGACTTGAAGGCACCATTCGGCTCCGTCGGTTGAGAAGTCTTATGGCAATGTCTCTCACTGAAGGGCGTGCTGAGTAAGTAGATCACCTCATTAAAGGCTCTCTACTCGAACACTTGTAAGTGTGTTAGAGCCTATGGTGAGATGTCCAGGAAGCTATGCTCATCGAGTGGTGTCCGTCAAGAGTGCCTACTCTCACCATTCTCCCTCTCGTCTCCTGATTACACAGACATTGACCTGATCGCAGAAGAATTTTCGTCAGACCTAGAATATACAGATGACATAGTTGTGTTAGGTGAAGATGCTGACAAGATGCAGAGTCTTGTGAAGACTTTGAGTAGCAGTTTAAGAATGTGTTGTGATGCCCCAGTTTTGTATAAAACATTGTTATCGACCCGAACATTTTTAACCTGTCATTCTCACACCATTTTTGCGGTTTGACTAGTAGTCTACTTTCTGCCCCCATTGTAATGTAAATCGCTAATTAGCTAGTCTTTACTCTTACTATGTAAATGTCTCAAATTGAGGACAAGATCACTTTTCATATGTGTACTTATTCACGTGTTTTAGGATTGATTATATCATTATATTCTCGGAGTAATACACTCTCCCATCTACCAGCTTTTGGTCTTCTCTCTATTCGCCCCAGGGTTGCAGTCAGCGGCTCTTGCGTATTAAGTTAGCTGTCAGCTAAGCGTGTGCGTATTATATTCATTCCGGAATATATATAACCATTAGCGTTCGAAACCACAACAGTTTGGGGTTCGTTTCTCACCATCCCAGTGCAAATTGTTAATGCAGGATTGGTGTTCAACGGTGTCCCACTGCGGCTAATAATATAGATAGTGAGTGTAGTGGTTGAGTGTGTCGACCACTTCACTTACCTAGGAATTAGGATCAGCCCTACCTTCTGCACGAATACAAAAGGCTGGTCCATCTGGCTTTCTCTAACTTACAGCACCTATAGTGTCGCCGTGATATGGGATTGTCTATCTAGGGTCCCGTGTAATGCACCGCAGTCCACTCTGTTCTACTCTATGGCTGTGAAACATACTCATTCAAGGTGGGAGTCATGACCACCTTTGCCTTCATAGTATAGGCTGTATTCCGTGGTGTCATTACGTGAGTAACTCAGAAGAGGTCAGTTTACACGATTGTGAGCCTTCATCGACTGAGATGGCTGGCTGGGACATGTGTTACCTATGAATAGTCATCGTCTGCCTCGTCACACAATGTTGACAGATGTGTTCAGGCTGAATAAATGCCCGAGGTGGCCAGACTAAAAAACGGCATGAATGCATGATGTGTTTGACTGTTGGTTTGAGCTATATGAGGCGATGTAGACTAGGTGGTTGGGGTCGTCAAGACAAGAGGAACCAGTGGTTGGAGACTAACTCTAGATGATATGGCTTGGTGTCGATGTCAGTAGTGCAGATGTATATACACATTATCCTCATCCTAACGACGATATACTGAATCTCACCATTTCTCTCTCTCTCTCTTTGAGCACACTAGGCCAGTAAATAGATAATCAATCACCAATGCTATACTGTTTTTGGTTATTATACTATTTTTAATGCTACTCATTAAGATTATGGAGTGGACTGAGTACTTAATTATCCATCATATAACAATGTATAAGTATCATGATGAAGGGGGGGGGGCGGGGCGGGGGAGAATACTCACTATCTATGAAACTGAAATTTTACTATTGTACAATTTCTATTGATTGACTGCATAGTTAATAGTATTTTTATGATTATTGTATAGAAATTGCGTAAATCGATCAAAGAATTTTTTTTTTCTTTCCATAATTATGTTCATAGGACTAATGTAGTGTGTTTATTGATCTAAAGTAATTAATTGAAGTAAATAAGTACAAGAAATGTACGTGACAATATTATCTATATTTAAAGTATCAATTCCTTAGTTATATATGTATACATACTGAAGAGAGATGTGCCAATATTTTACTCTGTACTGAATAGCTATTCTATGTTATTATGATCATCTTCGACAGCGTCGACCGAGAAGTAATTTGGAAACTGCTTCAATACTACGGAGTGCCGCAAACCTTTATCCGCCTCATTCAACAACTATATGAAGATGCTACATTCCAGCCAAGTAATTCACAATGGGAAGCTCAGTGATACTTTTGAGGTGAAGACAGGAGTGAAACAAGGTTGCCTACTATCCCCCATGATATTCCTGATTGTGGTGGACTGGATCATGCAGCAAACAGTAGGCAGCGAGAAGAGGGGGATACGCTGGACGACGGAAAAGAACCTAGAAGACTTGGATTTCGCCGATGACTTGTGCCTGATGTCACATAAACTTGAAGATCTACAGGCAAAAACTAACAAGTTGATAGAAGAGACAGCGAAGACGGGACTTCAGGTGAATATAGAGAAGACAGAAGTGATGAAGATACCGCACCACCACCATCAACAACAACAACAAACTCCAATCACCGTCAACGGGAGAAACTTGAAGGAAGTAACCTCCTTCACTTATCTAGGAAGCACTGTTTCAACTACAGGCGGGACAGACGAGACGTCAAAGTCAGAATCGGAAAAGCAAGACAGGCGTTCATTAGCCTGAAACCAGTGTGGAGATCTTCTGCACTCAGCATGTGGAACAAGATACGGATTTTCAACACCAACGTCAAATCAGTGCTCCTGTATGGTTCAGAGACTTGGCGCGTCACGAAAGGCATTTCCAATAAACTACAGACATTCATCAACAACTGCTTACGCTCGCTACTGAAGATCAGATGGCCAGAAAGAATAAGCAACAAGGAACTCTGGGAACGAACCAACCAAGAACCTATCACGCAACAAATATGCAGGAAGAAGTGGAAATGGATTGGCCATGCACTGAGAAGGCCGACTGAGGACATCACACGCCAGGCCCTCGAGTGGAATCCCCATGGGAAGCGACGAGTTGGACGTCCAAGGGTGACATGGAGGAGGTCGTGCGAGGAGGAAATGAGAGCTTCTGGGCTGTCGTGGGACCAGGTCCAAACGATCTCAGAGAACAGAGTGCACTAGATACGTGCTACTGAAGCCCTATGTTCCACTAGGAACCCAAGGGCTAATAATAATAATAATGATCATCTTCGTCTTCTATCCATCCAACTGAATGTAGGATCAAGCGTTTCTATGTAATAGTCCAAGTTCTCACATTTCAGATATCAATACATCAAATAAAAAGGTCAATGAAGTGAAAAGTACTCAAGAGAGAAAGAAAAAAAAACTGAGAAAATGTTGAAATATTCAGTATAGATTTGTTAAGATGAGGATACAACATCTGCGCCACTGACATATCACTTAGACTCTTTCGTCCCTCGAACCCTAACTGGCTAGTCTACATCGTCCTATATGGCTTAAACTAACAGTCAGTGATTTCATACATTAGTGCTATAGCCACCTTGGGCCTCTATCCAGCTTGAATCTACTTCGGTCAACATTATGTGACGAGATAGATGGCGATTAGGTATACGTGATACATGTCCCAGCTAGCCATCTCAGTTGATGAAGGTTCCTAACCGTGTCAACTGACTCAACTGACCTTTTCTATGTAAAACGTTACATCTGACTTCTGCGTTACTCACGTGATGATACACTGTGGAATACGGCCTAGACTATGAAGGCAACGGTGATCAACCACCTGAAGCCTTCTCATGTCTTTCACCTTTCAATAGTCATATTTCACCGCTATAGGAGTAGAACAGAGAGGATTATTGTTATTTTTGACAGGGATAACTCTGGTTTTACTATATGTCTTGATATAGCTGTTTTCGACTTATTTATCAACTAAACATTAAGTTATCATCTCTTAGTAAAACTATTGAGGATACATTTGAATGTAGGTGACTGGTAAGAATAGTGTGCAGAGAGTATGGAGTGTGTACACTTCTAAGAAGGACTTCTATTACGAGAATAAAGCAGCAACATCAACTCACCGAATAGGTTAGTTGCTGACTGACTGTCTATTGAAGGAGAAGTATACTGCGGCAATGAAGTCTATTCTACAGTTATGAGACATGATCATTAAAAGTAGGTAACATGAAGTGATTACAGGGTTTTGCACACAGGTATTTTTTTAACCATTGCTCACATTTAGTGGAATCAACCTATGAGCAGTATTGAAGTTAGGCTAGAAGGGTATTAGACAAGTAAGTTGATATTTAGTAGTATGTAAAATTCATCACCGCAGTATGCTCACCTGTCTCCTAGATTCCACTGCTAGTTACTATTCATCATTAATATATAATTAAAAAACACAGGTAATATCGAGGCATACGTATAGAAGCCTATATGTCAATCAATTCGATCTAGTCAACAATGAAATAATACAAGCAACAACATTAAAACTATATCCATCGCATAAGAATTGGCTATCGTGACTCGGTGACCTAGTAGATGATTATGCTGTGAGGTTTGAAGTGATCAGTCCTGAGTTCGAACCCCGGTGGGGCCAATATCACTCACTGGGAGGCAAGTACATCTAGTTGATGAGTCTTACATAAATATACATATATATTCTTTCTAAATAGGATAATATTAATGTGTTAAAATATGGATATTGAAAGTATTTTTTTTCCTCCTGTATCTAATCATTGTTGTTATTCAATGTCTCTTCATCCCACCTCTTTTCCTTTTTTCTTCTTCTGTTAACTTATTCTTTCAACTATACTATGAATAGCTTATCTTAAAAAAACAATCAACTGGAAAAATACATGGTAAATTTTCACTTATCGATTTAGCTGGTAATGAACGTGGTGTGGATACAAGTAGTTCAGATCGACATACACGAATGGAAGGTGCTGAAATTAATAAAAGTCTACTCGCTTTAAAAGTGAGTGATTTCAAGATTGTAATTATTTTTCTCTTGTATTGTAAACAGTTTAAAATTGTGTTTAATTATCATTGTAGGAATAGTATTATGACAGTTTTTCTTTATAATCCAAGATAGAACATCAAAGCCAGCCAGAATCGGAAAAGCAAGACAAGCGTTCATTAACCTTAAACCAGTGTAAAGATCTGCACTCCACTCAGTATCAAGCGTGGACAATATCCGGATTTTCCACATTGACGTCAAATCACCGCTTCTATGTGATGGTTGAGAGAGTAGGCGCGTTACGAAAGGCTCGTTACTGAAGCTCAGATGTTCAGAATAATAGGAATAAGCAACAAGGAACTGACTCTGGCAACAAATTAACAAAACAAGAACCTATTGCTCAACAAATATGCAGAAGGGGAAATTGGAGATGGATTAGGCATACACTGAGAAGGCCAACTGCGGACATCATGCGCCAGGCTATGTCGTCGAGTGGAACTCAGATGGGAAACGACGAGTTGGTCATCCCAGTTGAGGGTGACATGGAGGAGATAGTGTGTGAGGAAGAAATGAGAGCTTCTGGGCAGTGGTGGATCCAGGTTGAAAAGATTGGAGTGAAGAGAGTGGAATGGAGGCGTGCTACTGAAGCTCTATGTTCCACTAGGAACCCAAGGGATAAATAATAATAGTATTTGAAAATTATGGAACTCTCTCAATTCAAGTAGAATTGGATTGAGATAAGAAGTCTTGATTGTTGGAAAGATTGTATGAACTTCGTTTTACTTGCTACGCATACTGAGCCACCAGTTTATCTTGACGTGGTGTGCAATAGGAAGTTAGATAAGGTGAGGAGATGGTTCAGAGTAATCAGACAGAAACATGGCACTAATAGATGAAGTGTCTGATTGTTGATTTGAACCGTGTTGAGATATAGACTGCTTGATTTGGAGCGTCGAAATGATAAGAATTAATAGTTGGCGACTGATTCTTGGTGATATGACTGTAAATCCGTTACAACGGTGCAGATGTATCCACTTTCAGATGTCTCCTGAAGCTTGAATAGTCGCACCATCCGTTATCTTCAGATTTTTGTTGTTGAATAATGCCAAAGGGGTAGCCAAAGGTAGTTAAGCAACTTAATAGTAAGCCATAGATTAGTCAGGCGATACAGTCCTCTCGAACGAAGATACTGACAATATACACAGTCTCTTAAACAGTTGGCATTTGGATAATCTTTAGGATAATTCTCTCTACACTATAATTCAAACTGCCACTCCAGGCTTGGTCTTCACTTTTGCTGAAGTTGTTCAGCAGGTTGACCGCTTCACTTGCCTAGGAAGTGTAAATCAGTTCTGATGGGTCAGTGACTGACGTAATCTCTATATAGATGTAAAATGCTCACTTGGTCTTCGTTGAAATATACCATCCATAACGTTATAGTAATATCTGATTTCCTATTAAGGGCAGGATGTACTCCGCTAGATTTCACTCTGTTTTACTAAATAGCTATGAAAAATGGCCATAAAGAGTAGTAGACCTAAAGAGGTTTCAAGTGTTCGATCACCGTTGCTTTCTTGGCCAAATATCATTATGTCAATGTAACATTAAAGTTACATGAAGAATTTTTCAGGCAGATAAAGAAAGTCACCTGATCAGGCTATGACCCTTTATCAACTTAGGTGTTGTTGGGATATGTTATACATGCCTAGTCATAACTTTGTACAACCATAAGTATTGAGGTAGTATTCATTATGGAGTGATACCAGTTGGAGAACCATTGAAAACCTGAGAGCATTGGATAGCTATTTCATCATAATATTCGTGCTAGGTAAGGTACTTAACTGTACGAACGTACAAGTCATTTTATGTAGTTTCTCCTTATCCTTCCTGAGGAGACAGCTATGAATGAAGTGTGGATGTTTAGTGTAACTAGTTGCTGACTAGGATTTAAATGTCTGTCAACTATAGTGTTAATCGGTCGGACAAGAATTGATTTAATTCACAGCAATCTAAGTTAAAATTTAGTATAAGGGTTTTTATATGATACCGTCGTTGATTGGACCGAATTGATCGGTCTCTATTAGCATTATGAGCTCCTGTGCGGATGCTTCGGTATTGCCAAGAATCTAATTATGTTAAGGATGGATCGTGCCTAGCAGCGGAATCCAGGATGCGCATTTCGTCCTATTTGGAACTCACTGATCAGCTAGATGCAACTGCTTCCCAGTGAGTGATGTTGTTCCCACCATCTAAGTTAGAATTGACTGGAATAGACATACGTCAGGTCATCAGCATACCTGATAAAATTAGTTTCAACTCTAAAAGGAGAAAGTACAACACTTTGAGGCACATCAGCTTCAATGGCGTAGAGCGCTTCACTTCATTGACAGTGTACTGTTCCTCTTCAGAAAAATAAGGATGCAACCACTTTGTAACCTTATGAGCTATGGTAAACTTATTTAACCTGAATGGTCTGGGAACATAGTCAAAGGCTGATGAGTAATCCAAAAAGGGCACAACGAACATACATAACACTATTGTGGAGACTAGAAACAATATTATAATGCAAGACAGTGACTACATCTACAGTACTCCTCCGGTGTTTGTAAGCAAACTGTTTTGGTTCTCTGAAAACCATCAATGAGAGCCCAATCACAAGGAGAAGTAATTTCTCCATTGCAGCTATCCATAAATCAATCAGTGTACTGTGTTTTCTTTCTTCTCTGAGTCACAGAAGGATTATACTTGTGGTATTTCGGTTTATATTATATTTCCAATCATTCATTTTACTAACTTTATGCATAGAATATATGTTATCCAATGTGACTTCAAACTATGATAACTCAGAATATGGATTGCTTTACATAATTCAATAGTGTTACTAAATTATAAACGGTAAGCTCAATTGATACAACGGTTTGATCACTATCGAATATGCATTATTATCTTTACCTTGGGTTCCTAGTGGAACATAGAGCTCCAGTAGCACGCCTCCATTCCACTCTGTTCTCTGTAGTCTTTTGAACCTAACTCCATGACTGCGTAGAAACTTTCATTTCTTCCTCACACACCATCTCCTCCATGTCACCTTGAACTTGGACGCTCAACTTGTCGTTTCCTATCTGGGTTCCACTTGAGTACGTGGCCTGGTGTGTAATGTCCCTAGTCGGTCTTCTCAGTGTATGCCCAATGTCTGTAGTTTGTTGAAAATACTTTTCGTGATACTCCAATTTTCTGAACCATATAGCAGCACTGACTTGAATGAATTGGTGTTGAAAATCCGGACCTTGAAACCACATGCTGAGTGGATTAGATCTCCACACTGATTTCAAATTAATGCAGGAAAGCCTGTCTTGCTGTCTGTGCCATCCTGGCTGGCCTTGACGTCCTCGTGTGTGCCACCTGTAGTTGAAACAATACTGCCTTGCCTAGGCAGGTAAAAGAGACTTCTTCCTTTAGGTTTCTCCCACCAATGGTGATTGGTGCTTGTTGTTGGTTGGGTATCTCCACCACCTCCGTCATCTCTATATTCACTTGGAGTCCCGTTCTCGCTGCCCTGCCTCTTCTGTCAACTTGTTAGTTTTTGCCTGTAGATCTTCGAGTTGGGTGCGACAAGACATTTGGCATAAATCATCATCATTGGCGAAATCCAAATCTTCTAGGCTCTTTTCATCGGTCCAGCCAGCGTATGCCCATCTTCTCGCATCGAATATGCATTGATATGGAATAAATCTTGAATTCACTACCCGAGTAATCACAGTATAAACCAAATATGGGTTAAATCTCTAAACATCTTGGTCTCTGTATATTCTCTCCTAACTAATTAGCTATAAGAATTTCACAATAGTCAGCAAAGATATCTGTAGGAAAATGTTGAAAAAAGTTTAAGGATAGGATAGTCTGTAATAAAACGTCCTATCTGATATGATATAGGAGTAAAACTTTGGCGCTGTAGTGAATTATAATTCCATTTTAGTCTGTAGTCTTAGTAATGTCACACACACACACACACACACACACACACACACACACACACACACACACACACACACACAGTGAAAGAATAATATATCAGCCTTAGCAAGAATGAAATCAGCTTGCCAGCGTATAAATCTCTTCCTTTTTTTTAACGTGCAAACATCCAAACAAGCTTCTTTTGTCACGTGTTTTCTACCTGTGAGCTCTTTATTAGCAGTGGTAGTAGTAGTAGTAGTAGTAATACAGGTGTTATTAATAATAATCCCACTACTACTAATGATAATAATGGTGACAGGGTTAAGAGAGAATTCAAAACCTCTACTGTGTTACCATACAAGGAAGGCAGGCACCTGAGAAGCATTATACAGAATTCTCAATAAGGCTGACTGGGATTAAAGTGGCATTTAAACCAACAAACTTGCTTAGACACAACCTTCGTAGGTTAAAAGATCCTATGGATGGAATTCAACAAAATAATCTGGCCCACCTAATCCCTTGCAATGATTGCAAGGTCAAGTACGTAGATCAAAGCAGTTGACCAGGTTCGATTAGAATAACAGAGCATAAACACTTAATTGAATCAAGATTAGTAGATCCTATCCTAATAAGATAAGAAGTCTAGAGAAAAGCTTGGCTGGCTATAGCTCTGCATGCGATGACTCACAATTACACAATAGGGTAGGATAGGGCGACAGTGTTGAAAACGAAATTAGGTTGGGTGGAGGGAGGGAGAGATTGATAACCGACTGAATCTTGGTTTATCGAATTAACACCAAATACATGGAGTAATAGAAAGGATTCTGCACCTGTCCAAGATGTATGGAAAATTCTACTACGCTTGTCATCACGAAGTATATAAAGTATTTATCGAAGTTGTGGAGTTACTTACCTGATATGAATATGGAACAATGAATTGTATCCGAAACGTTGTTATCCAGTAATGATACTGTCCCTTCACTGTGTGATATTTTTAGTAAACAGAATAAAATGAGGCTAAATTTATTTATGACTAACGCTTCAACAAACTTGAGTATGACTCCCCTGACAGTTACTATACAAAATTGTAAAGGCTGTTTCAATATCAATCCTATGACCCTTATCGATGCATATATTTTGTAATGGATGCGGATGATGATTGTCCACCATCTATGCATATCAATATTTGTGAATTCAACTGCTTTCATAGGCATTTTGGAACATGTTCCCCACCCCCTCCCCTCCAGTGCAAATCATGATTAGTTGTCTCTATTTATGTTTGTCCATACCTACCTACCTACCTACCTACCTACCTACCTACCTACCTACCTACCTACCTACCTACCTACCTACCTACCTACCTACCTACCTACCTACCTACCTACCTACCTACCTACCTACCTACCTACCTACCTACCTACCTACCTACCTACCTACCTACCTACCTACCTACCTACCTACCTACCTACCTACCTACCTACCTACCTACCTACCTACCTACCTACCTACCTACCTACCTACCTACCTACCTACCTACCTACCTACCTACCTACCTACCTACCTACCTACCTACCTACCTACCTACCTACCTACCTACCTACCTACCTACCTACCTACCTACCTACCTACCTACCTACCTACCTACCTACCTACACACCTACCTACCTACCTACCTACCTACACACCTACCTACCTACCTACCTACACACCTACCTACCTACCTACCTACACACCTACCTACCTACCTACCTACCTACCTACCTACCTACACACCTACCTACTACCTACCTACATACCTACCTACCTACCTACCTACACACCTACCTACCTACCTACCTACCTACACACCTACCTACCTACCTACCTACGCACCTACCTACCTACCTACCTACACACCTACCTACCTACCTACCTACCTACCTATCTACCTACCTACCTACCTACCTATCTATCTATCTATCTACCTACCTACCTACCTACCTACCTACCTACATGCATGCACACATACATACATGTAAATTTGTAAACGCAGTAGGATGTGACGCAATCATTTATACAGCGTTAAGCTCTAGGTCACAGTATATGGTTTAGTCTTCTCAAGTATTATAAACTTAGCTGCATAGTATGGTTTGCTAACAGCAAACCTTTACCTTCGTTTTATTAGTTTCTCGTCTGTATGTATGATAATGCTGTTAACAAGTAAATATGTGTGGTTGATCAGTTTGTTCGAATTGTGTATAACGCTAATACATCATAACATATTTCAAATAATCTACGTCTTCTAATTACATTCTGCATATATCAAGTATATTCCTATTTATTGTTTTGAAATAGGAGGAAACTACTCTATTCCTTAGATTTGTATACAGTTTACGCTTATTTTTTTAGAGGTATAGCATTAAACTTCAATTTCTTCTGATGTTTAATGACTCACTTATCCTTTGTATCCAATCATTTTTTGTTATTGTAGGCGTTTGCATAGTCTTACGCCCTTACTCAATTTTGTTCTTGTTTTTCTACAGTTTCGTAATCATATATATATATATATATATATATATATATAGTTTGTAAGCTCCCTTATACTTTGACTTGTACTAAAGCTGATTTTAGTAACTGATTACTTAGACTTTGGTAAGTAAAGAAATCAATGGCGATAAGTGTGATCCTATAATTATACCTAAGTAACAAGCGAAGTGTCACAAACCTTTATCAACCATATTCAATATAAGCTATATGCTGAGTGATACCTTTGAAGTGAAGACAGGAATGTGTAAGACAAGGTTGCCGCTTACTATCACCTATGATCTTCATGATTGTAGTCGACTGGATCGGACTAGATCATCCAAGAAACTGTGACGAACAAAAAGAGGGGCATATGCTGCTTGACGGATGAAGAGACACTAGAAGATTTGGATTTCACCGATGATTATTTATGTTTAATGTCTTATACAGGCGAAAACTAAGAAGTTGGCAGAAGAGTCAAGGTGTGGTAGCGAAAATGAAACTTCCTTTAGGTGAACGTAGAGAAGACAGAGGTGATGAAGATGGCTATGCAACAACAACAACAAATGAATCAACGTCAACGGGAGAAATCTAAAGGAAGTTGTCTCTTTCACATACCTACCTAGTCAGCATCGTTTCAACTACAGTTGGCACAGGCATAGATAAGGATGTCAAATCTAGCCAGAATCGGAATTACAGCAAGACAGGTCTTCGTCCATTAATCTGAAATCAGTGTTGAGATCTACTCTACTCCACTGCACTGCATTGTACTCAGCATAAAACTCGAACAAGATCCGGATTTTAAACAGTAAGTCAATCAAGACAGTGTTTCCTCCCTGTGATGGTTGAGTGAATTGACACGTTACATAAAGCTTTTCGAACAAACAGCAGACATAGATGAACAGCTGCTGCCTACGCTCACACTCTATACTGAAGATGAGATCAGATGGCCAGAATAATAAGAATAAGCAAGGAGGAGGAACTCACTATGGCAACTAACCAACCAAGAACCTATCACCCAACAAATATGCAGAAGAAGATGAATTGGATTGAACGTAGACGGTTTGGGGGAGATCATGCGCCAGGCCAGGTCAGGTCGTCGGATGAAACCTATATAGAAAACGACGTCTGAGGGTGACATGGAGAAGATGGTGTGATGAAGAAATGAAAGGTTATAGGCAGTCGAATAATGAGTTTATGAATCATAGTCGACTGAAATGGCTTGAACATGAACTGCATATACGAGTTCATCGCTTACCTCAGTATATATCATACTAGGGGAAGTTGGATTAGATTGGAAAAAAAAAAGGTTGAATCTGATGTGACTAAGATATTGTACTAGTGAATGAAATTCCATGTCCAGTTGATTTAAGCTGTTTAAGGAGGTATAAACTTCATGATTAGAATCCTTGAGACAATAGAAATCAATATTTGGGTCATACTTAGCATATTTACACTACTACTATTCACCTACTTACATGAAAGTAAACTTAGCAAGATTTCAACTTGAAGACTATTATGTTTAAAAGTTGAATACTTTCAAAACAATAATAGTAGCCATTTGAAATAGTTCTTAGTTAGTATTCATATTCTATGGGGTTTGAGTTGCAAATAAGTTAATACTTATCATAATAAGAAAAACAAAATCATGAAGTCTGAAGACTACTCTTGTCCATTGTTATCTTATTATTAATAATAGATAGTAGGTGTAGCAGTTGAATTCAGCTGATGGATGTATTTACCTCCCAGTGAACGATATTTGTTTTCACCAAGGACTCGAACTCAAAATCGATCGCTTCTCTCTGCAATCTTTCTTACCTGGCTCTACAATAGCCTAAGAGCTCTCATTTCTTTGTCACACGATCTCGTCCATGTCACCTTCAACTGAACCGTTGTACTCAGTCCCTCTTCTCGTTGTTCATCCTTGCAATGGTTAATGTTCTGTTTCACAATCCTCCTCTCCTCTCCTTTATCAGCTCCAATGTGTCCTTCGAGATCCATTCCTTGTCTACTTCCTTCTTCCTTCCTATACGGTTATGCAGGTTTCTTTCCACATAGCTTTCAAAGAGTTCCAGTGTTCTTCCACACAGGTTTCTTCAGGGATGTTCCTCGATATCTTCCATTTTGTCTTGATGGCTGACGTGAAGATGTCACTTGTAGTTTTGTCCTTCAATTTCTGGGTGTTGAACTTGAACTGTGGTCTATCACCAACTTCCTTGAAGGTTTTCAATTCGATTTAAAAGGCAGGTTCCTTGCATGAGATAGTGAGTGGTCTTAACCTACATCTCCTCTTCTTGATCTTGTGTCCAGTAGGCTTGCTTCGTCTCCACCTTCTTGAGATTGAGATGAAGTCGATCTGATTTTAAGTGTGTGCATCTGATGAAATCGTATCCATGTCGCTTTGTGAATATCCTTGTGTTTGTACACACTGCCTCCCTGCAATCACCAAATCGCTGAATGCGTAGAAATCTCCAAACGGTTCTCCATTCTCGTTCATCACTTCACTGAGCGCTTCTCGACCCATGGTTAGTTCTCTTCATGTGTTGTCCGCTTCGAGTTTGGCATTCATCTCGCCAACTGGGGTGCGGTCTTGACCAGTATTGATTACAGTTGTCTATAGAATTCCTCCTTCTTCTCTTGATCTGCATTATTTGTAGGTGCATAGCGTAGCTTGGCATTGTACTATTATGACTTTAATAACTTTTGATTCGGATCTTGCTGTCATGATCCTGGAGGAGATTGGTTCCCACTGTATGAGAGCCTTCGATGCTCTTGGAGATATTATGATAGCCACTCCAAAACTCAATATGCTCGTGGTTGTTGTCTGGGTGACAATATCGGAGTAGATTATTGACTCTTCAGTTGACAGTTTGGGGAGTCCATTTCCATTCCATCTGCTTTCGCAGATTCCCAGCCTAGTATTTCTATGCTATTCCGTCTCATCTCCTTTGCAATATAGGCAGCCTTGGTAGGTTCAAACATGGTGGGGACATTCCATGTTCCTATCCTTACTTTCGCTTTCATTTGTAGGGAGAAGACATATCGGCCAATTGGCTTCCTGAAGGCTTTCACCAACTGGCGTCATTTCGTCTCTCCAATTCCAGCGAGGAATAATTTTGTTTTTATTTTTTATATTTTGTCTGTACTTTGAGATTTCTGTAGCGGTTGGATTGATTTTACTGGGTAGGGGTAACATTGCTAGCCGTATGCCCAACCTTCCCTCTTTATCCGGGCTTAGGACCGGCTAGTGAACTAGTTAACCAGGCGAGGTTTACCTTCATTAGCTTGTTAACTTATCACTTAGTACTTATGTAAATAAATAAAGATATTTATATACGTTTTAAATGTGGAAAAGTTGTTTATTATCTTTTCTCCCCTCTCTCTCTCTCTCTCTTGCTACCAATTTGTATAGGAGTGTATTCGTGCTCTTGGTCGACGTGGTGCACATTTACCTTTTCGTGCAAGTAAATTAACTCAAGTATTACGTGATTCATTCATTGGTGATCGTTCACGAACATGTATGATTGCTATGATATCACCAGGAATGTCAAGTTGTGAACATACATTAAATACATTGCGTTATGCTGATAGGTAAGTTGACTTCTGTTTAGTAATGGTGTATGTGTGTGTGTTTGTTTGTATCAGAGTTAAGTCAACTTGTTTTCAAAGTGGTGTATTTCCAGTAGTTTATTGTATTGGTAGACGTTTCCTTTTTTTTCTCTACAGTTGCTTAGATTTCTTTTCCGCTATTATATGATATGATAAATGTTGGAAGAGTGTTCAAGGTGACTAGATCAAGACTTGGCATTAGTTGATATGAGCTGGTGTGGTTGGTGTCGTGGAAGTGAATGGAATTAGTGGTTGAGGATTGTTGGTGACATGGCTGGAAATTGGTCACAATGACAAAGATGTATTCATCTCTTGACATCTTATTCTATCCACCAATAATTGAGGCCAGTTTGAGATGATGCATTTGTGTGCAAAGTTCTACGTTGATTTCGTCAGTCTATTAATCAGTCTTCATCGTCATTATTCTGTTCTTCTCAGCATTCTTGTTTGATTACTTGTGTTGACTTTCTGTGTACCGCTGTGAAGCGTAAAAAAATTCTCCATCCAGTTACACATAGAAAATAGTTGGATCATTTATTTGATGTCATTTTCATCATTTTTATTACTACCTCTTATGATCAGTAAATACTACCTGGCAGTCTAGTCTACGGACGATACGAACCTAATGCGAACAAAAGAATCTACTCTAATAGCTAATCAGAACGTCAATTATCACAACAACAATACCATTGGCATGCGAAGACTAACAGACAAGACTGGACCGAAGCGTTACAATGTGGTCCACACATGATTTGTACTTCCTGAAGCCAGTCTGTTCCGGTCGTAATTTTTGCGCTCAGAACATCGATTTTTGTTGAAGGATTTGAGTTCACTTGTAATTCTGTCGCTGCAGGTGGTATATATGGTATCCCAAATGACCTTGACAGCAACCAATGAGACTTCAGACTTCAGACTGTCCACCCCAAGCATCATCCAGGAGAGACTAAAGGATACGCTGCATTCAAAACTACGACCGCAACGAGATAGCTGGCTGGATTCAGGAAGTACAAATCATGTGTGGACCAAATTGCAACGCTACACAACATCATAGAACAGAGCATAGAGTAGCAGTGAACTCTACCTCAACTTCATCGATTTTGAAAAGGCCGGCCTTCGACAGCGTCGACCGAGGAGTAATTTGGCAGTTGCTCTAACACTATGGAATACCATAAACCTTTTATCAGCCTCATTAAACAACTATATGACGATGCCACATGCCAAGTGATTCACAATGGGAAGCTGAGTGATGCCTTTGAAGTGAAGACAGGAGGGAGTAAGACAAGGCTGCCGCCTACTATCTATCACTTATGATCTTCCTGATTGTGGTGGACTGGATCATGCAACGAACAGTGAGGAGCGAGTAGAGGGGTATACGCTAGACCGATGAAAAGAGCTTAAGATGTTTTGATTTCGCCAGTGATGATGATTTATGTTTAATGTTGCACAAACTCTAAGATGTACAGGTGAAAAGTGACAAGTTGACAGAAGAGTCGAAGTGAGGCAGCGAAGACGGGACTTCAAGTGAATGTGGAGAAAATAGAGATGATGATGATGAAGATACCCAACCAACGCTACCAACAAAAGCAACAATGACAACAAGCTGCAATCAGCATCAACGGGAGAAACTTACAGGGAAGTAGTCATTTTCACCTATCTAGACAGCATCGTTTCAACAGTAGACAAAAGAGACTAGGACGTCAAAGCCATGCAGGATTGGCAAAGCAAGACAGGCGTTCATTAATGTGAAACGAGTGTAGAGGTCTACAGCACAAAGCGTGAATAAGATCCAGATTTTCAACACCAACGTGAAGTCAGTACTTCTATATGGTTGAGAGACTTGGCGTGTTACGAAAAGCATTTCCAACAATCTACAAATATTCATCAACAACTGCCGTCTACGCTGACTCGATACTGAAGCTCAGATGGCGAGAATAATAAGCATAATCAACCAGGAACTCTGGCCAAGTGACGAACGAACGAAGCAAGAACCTATTACCCAACAAATATGCGGAAGGAAGTGGAGATTGATTGGACTGGGCATACACTGAGCGGACAATTCGGGGATATCACGTGCCAGGTCACGTACTCGAGTGGAACTCATATGGGGTTCTACGATGAGCAAATCGACGTCAACCATCTATCGACCAGAAAAGTTAATCATCAAGATATACACTCACACAATTATATTTGATATATCTCTATCTAGAGTGCCTAGTGAGACTGCTTCTTATCTGCTTGTATCACTTTTCTAAAGTATTAAACGAATGATCTCAGCAACTTTATTTCTTGTTTTGTTCATTATCTCTTTTCTCTTAGAGTAAAAGAACTTGGTCCAGGTACATTATCAGCAAGTAAGTAGAATGATTTTATGTTTATATCTTTCTACGACACTGTACTGTATCATCCTCATGACTAACTACTTTACATTTCAATATTCAGATGCTTAGATGTTGTACTGTGAAATAATAACGCTGTGTACAGATTCGTCAACTCAGTTAATGTAAATCTTGATCTTCAAGGTTCATTCAGAGAACAACAAAAAGCATATCCAACAAACTACATATATTCATCAACAACTGCCACCTACACTGACTCGATACTGAAGCTCAAATGTCTAGAATAATAAGAATAAGCAACAAGAAACTCTGACTGGCTGGCAGGCAACGAACCAACCAAGAACCTATCACTCAACAAATATGTTGCAGGAAGTAGAGATGGATTGGGTGTACACTGAGAAGGCCAACTGGGGATATCACGCGTCAGGCCCTCGAGTGGGGAACTTCGATGGAAAGCGACGAGTTGGGCGTTTACGGTGAGGGTGACATGGAGAAGGAGATGGTATGTGAAGAAGAAATGATAGCTTGTGGGCAGTGGTGGAACTAGGTTGAAAAGATTGGAGAGAAAAGAGTGGATTGGTGACGTGCTAGTGAAGCCCTATGTTCCACTAGGAACCCAAGGGACAAATAATAGTTTAATAATAAGGTTCATTCAGAGAATTACTTTATTTTAAGATATCTACTGAAAGCAATCAACTCACATAAACTAGATAGGTTCTACAATGGGATGATTGTTTATCGATCAGATTCGAAAATTTTTTCTAAGATGTTAACCTACCTAACGACATCCGACACGTGTTATATTTCTTCACATGAAGATAACATTTAATTGTGTCTATCAAGGAAGTTGATGATGTTCAGATAAGGCGGTAACAAGTAAGATATATTATACTTAATAAGCAGTTAAAATGGTTGTGGTGTCCGTCAAGGATGCCCACTATCCCCATTCTTATTTAATTTTATCATAGATATTCTTATGAAGGTTTCCCTCTCCTCACCTAATTACAGAGACGTTGATCCGATCACAGGTGAATTTTCTTTAGATCTAGAATATGCAGACGACATAGTCCTGTTAGGTGAAGACTCTGATTCATGAGATGCAGAGTCTTCTGAACACTTTGAGTGGGAATTTGAGAATGTTTGGGATGCGGTTTTCACCACCCAAATGCAAATTTTTGCTCCAGGACTGGTCTTCAGCGGTGCCCCACCGCGGTTAACAATAGAGAGTGAGTGTAGTAGTTGAGTGTGTTGACCACTTCACTTACCTGGGAAGTAGGATCAACCGTGGTGGGTTAGTTGCCGATAAGATTTCTGCACGGATACAAAAGGCTCGATTGGCTGGCTTTTGCCAATTTGCGCCACCTATGGCGCCGCCGTGATATTCGTTTGTCTATTAAGGGTCGCGTGTACTGCACAGCAGTCCGCTCTGTTCTACTGTATGGCTGTGAAACATGGCCATTGAAAGTGGAAGACATGAGAAGGTTACAGGTATTTGACCACCGTTGCCTTCGTAGTATAGGACGTATTCCGTGGTGTCACCATGTGAGTAATGCAGAAGTTAGGTGTAGAGTTTTAGGGAGAGGAGGTAAGTCAGTCGACGAGGTTGTGAACCTTCATCGACTGAGATGGTTGGGACACGTACTACGTATGCCTAGTCACCGATTGCCTCGTCACACAATGTTGGCTGAGGTGGGTTCAGGCTGGAAAAAGGCCCGAGGTGGCCAGACTAAAACATGGCACCAATGTATGAAGTCTCTGACTGTTGGTTTAAGCCATGTAGGACGATGCAGACTAGGTGGTTGGGGTCAGTGGGACAGGAGGAACCAGTGGTTGGAGACCCTAGGTGATATGGGTTAGAACCGAAGTCAGTGGCGCAGATGTATACACACATTATCCTCATCCTAACAACGCTATACCGAATCTCACCATTTTGTCACTCCTCTTTCCTTTCTTCTCGTACTTTATATTTCTTTTGACTGCATTCACTTATCTTCATCCTTCACCTCACTACCTTTCTACTTGATGAACTGACGTGAGGTGTGGCAAGTTGGACCGTTACGCAGTAATGCCTGGTCCTATGTTGATAATGATGATGAGTTAAAATGGTCTCATAATGTTGTCACTGGAAGAAATGATATCGAATATCTGGTATTTAGTATCAAGAAATATGCATTATCACTTGTCATACTCGACTTTGTTATAAGTGTCTTGATGGACTATTGAACTTATGGATGAATGGGATGGGATGGATAAGTAAAGCGATCATATACGTTAACTACTTCACTCATTCAGTAAATAACATCACCCTAATATTGGCCTAATTGAGGATAAAATCTCAGTTCAGATACATAAAACCCGTTTATACTAAACTACCACCGCCTACCTGAATGAACAATGTTAACATAGGTTGAATTGATGTGGAAAAAGCTTCAGTACTGGTTAAGATTCAGATGTGACAGTTAAATTGTAGCCATGTACACCAAGATATTGACTGCCATGCTAGTCTGTTAGGACTCAGTGATTAAAGATGTAATCTTTGAAGTCTTGAATAATCGTTATTTATTCCATTCCATCACAAATATTTGTTTAGTTCAATACCATTCTCTTTCTATTCACAACTTCTTTACATTGTAATATGAAGTGTAGTAATTTGATCTTTTGCTTATGTTCCTCATTTAATGTTTTTCTGTACCTACATGAGCGTTCAAATTCACTTTATTGAGGTTGAAATGACTAACTAGGTTCTATAGGTTATCTACTCCACACTGTTTCTTGTTAGACGTCAAGTGTACGTCAATGAAAACCATGAACGTGGATTTCTATATAACTCTACAGGTCACAGACTAGCAGTATGACCACCTTGAGCGGTTTTTCAGTCTGAACCTATTTCAACCATCATGATAGTTAAGTGTGCGTAACACCATGTCTTAGCTGCCTGAATCAATGATGGTTCAAAACCTCAATAATTACTTCTCCTCTTTTCCCTTAATTTCTACACCTGACTTCTTTAACACTGATACTACAAAGGCAACAGTGGTCAAACGTCTGGAGTCTTCTCATATCCCCTACCTTTAATAGACATGTTTCATAGTGAAAATACAGCACAGTACATCTGACTCATGATAGCTAGTCGAAGATCATGGCGGAGTCATATTTGGTTTAAGTTGATGAAAGCCAATTAGGTTTTTGTCGGTCACTGACTCACCAAGGCTGATCTCACTCCTAAGGTAAGTTAAGTGGTCAACGCATTCAATCGCTTCACTCTCTAATGTTAAACAGAGCACCTGTGAAGACCAGTCCCGGAGAGACACATATCAAACATTCTCAAATCGTCACTCAAGGTGTCGAGAAGACCCTTTATCTTATCATCGTCCTCACTTAATAGAATTATGTCATCTGCATACTCTAGATCTCCCATGATAAGATCAATTCCCGTGAAGTCAGATGACGAGAAGAAGGCCTCTATAAGAACATCTGTGATAAAATTGAATACAAATGGAGAGAGTGGGCATTCTTGAGAGACACCATTCGATGTGCGCAACCCACCATAGGCTCTAACTTGTTCACAGGTGTTCGATTAGATAGCCTTCAACAGAGTGATGTACTCATTCTACACCTCTTTCAGTGAGAGTTACTGCCATAGGACTTGTCGGTTGAAAGCCACATCCAGGTGGAGGAAGACAACAAGTGTCAGGCGTCGGTAAATTTGTATGTGTTTCAGAACGTGATGTCGAGTGAATACCTGATCGATACACCGACAGGCAAACCTCAAGCTTATCTGTATTTGTTGACTTTCCTGTTCTCGAATTCCGTTGTGGTTTATCACAAGAGGAATTATCGCCTTTTTCTTGGCGACTTGGACAACCAGTGTCTGAAACCAGTTAGAGGAGATCATAAGTGACTGCAACACCAGATAACACTCCCTGGAACTAGTCGGTTTACTAAATAATGAACTAATCTCGCTATACAAAGCTAATAATACAATCTGACTAACCTAACATATATACATATGCGCCGTGCTTACGTTATTTAATTATCGTTTTGTAGGTAACAGTAATACTGACCTTCTAGCGCCTAGTAACAATAATCAAACTCAATTATCAGCTCGTGCTGTCAACAGTGGTGGTGCAGTGATCTTGGAAGTCATCGAAATGCTACAAGCACAGTTGGTTCCACTACAGTAGGAGGAAATATTCCATCGAAAAATACTCATCTTACCTCTGTTAATAATGGATCGAGCAATATAATGAATTGGCAGAATACTACACTGACAAATAATCATGGCAATTCAACTGGTGATGGAGATGATGATTTAGCCATGCTTCGTTCAGCAAATGTAAGTTATCTCCGTCTGTCTATCTGTATGCGTTTTATCGACTGCTTGCTCCGTTGAAACAACGTCGCTCTCAAAGTGAACAGTTACTACAACTAAGAAGCGGGTCTTCAGAAAGTCCATTTGGCATTTGACAACATGTGTCATCTGAGGCCACTGACTAGCAAAATATCTGACTATTATCGAAAGAAGAGTATTCTGCTCTGCAATCCGTTCTGTCTTGTTGTATGACTGTGAGAAATGGCCATTAAAAGTAGAAGAGGATGAAATGGTTGCATGGTTTTCATCACAGCTGTCTTCATAGCATTGCTTGCGTTTGTGGAATCACCGTATAAAAAATGTTCTAGTCAGGTGAATGGTATTTAGGTGGTTAGACAAGCAAGCCGATGATGCCGTTGTAAGCTTTAGTCGATTGGGGAATGTTGGATTAAGTTGTAATAAGGTTCATAGGGTGACTGGACTAAAATATGAAACAGTCAATGAAGCGTGATTCAATTCGCTTTGTATATTAGACTATTGTTTCGTTTTAATTTCTGCGGTAATGCGCTTTTACTCATAGTCAGGTTTTTAGACGTTCGTACAAACCAAACTTTAAATTTCAATCTCTTCACTTACTTACTGAAAAGCATTATAAGTAGTATCTCTTGTTTAAATGAAAATACTGTATTGTTGTTGTTAGCGTTACACACAGAACTGTTTTTACTAATTGACATTTTTTTGGTTGATTGATTTACCTGATAATAATGTCAATAATGATAACAATAGTAGTAGTAATAATAATAGTAATAATACCGCGCTAATCTATAAGCTTTGAACTCAAGAAATCCTGGGTTTAGCAACACCAAGGTAACTGTTTCCAGCGTTAATTCATTCGATATGATTTATCATTCCACTGACATTAGTCTCATGTAAGTGCTGATGAAACGATCGATTATGACGAAAAAAAATAAGATAAATTTACTGATGAAAGTATATGTTAAATGGACTAAGCTAAGAAAATATGTTCGAAGTATACGTTAGATGCATAAACAGAGAATAGTGGAAATTTCCTAAAGATTGATGTTTATCTAGCCTACTTTGTAACGAAAGAGTATTATTTATGAAGGTATAAATTCGTATATTTTTGGTGGTAGTCCTCAGAAAATCATTGTTGACGACATGAGTCAAGATTATGGAAGTAATATTTATATAGAAACAACTATGACTCTCTTAAGTTGACTAAATCCCTCTACACGGTTCGGTTATTTTAGCTGATTCTCACGAAAGCCGTAGTTAACATTTACACTAGTGAAAACTGGATAAGCCTCCAAATGACCTTGCTGGATTCTAACCGATACACCATCATAGTTGACTTTGCAGTAATACTGTTGTGATTCGAAACCATGTTACCTTATGCTGTAGTCGATGACGTTACCACTGAGCTATTCAAGGGATGGCTTTAGGAATATTCCGCTTGATTAACGAATTAACTATGCACATATTCATTTTGTTGTTTATAAAGCCCCATTTAAGTTTTTTGTTTGTTTGTTTATCAGCAGGGTGAAGTACCTGAAGAAGTTTTTCATTTTCACGAAGTTATCGATCATATTGAACGTATGGAAGAAGAGATCTGTGACGATCATAAAGCTATATGTGATGTAAGCACTTTTGAGTTAAATTGAATGGAGGCATCGAGATATCATGATACTGAGCTACCTAATCTAGCGATTACGCAATATATTATTATTTTTCCCTTGGGTTCCTTGTGGAACATAGGGCTTCACTAGCACGCCTCCATTCCACTCTGTCCTCTGCAGTCTTTTGGACCTCCGTCCACAACTGCCTACAAGCTTTCATTTCTTCCTCACACACCATCTCCTCCATGTCACCCTCAACTGAGACTCCCAACTCGTCGTTTCCCCCATATGGGTTCCACTCGAGTACGTGGCCTGGCGCATGATGTCCCCAATCGGCCTTCTCAGTGTATTCCCAATCCATCTACACTTCCTTCCATTGCATATTTGTTAGGTGATAGGTTCTTGCTTCGTTGGTTCATTGCCAGAGTTGCTTGTTACTTATTCTTTCTAGCCATCTGATCTTGAGTAGCAAGCGAGTGTTGGAAATGCTTCTCGTGATACGCCAATTTTCTGAACTATCACATAGCAGCACTGATTGGTGTTGAATCTCCGGATGTTGTTCACGCTTTGTACTGAGTCAGTGGATCTTCAGATTGATTTCAGATTAGTGAAAGCCTGTCTTGCTATGCTGATCCTGTCTGGTTTTGACATCCTCGTCTATGCCGCCATCTGTAGTTGAAACGATGCTGCCTAGTTAGGGGAAATAGACAACTTCCTTTTCATTTCTCCTATTAATGGTGATTGGTGCTTGGTGTTACTATTACTGTTGTTGGTTAGGTATCTTCTCATAGATGCATGGAATACAGTAGGTCTTGTTAATGATCAGCTTACAACGTTCTAATGTTAATACTCATGAATTGGTTTTTCCCTAACATGACGATCTCTTATTGATATTTCAAAAATCTAGGATTGTGTTAACTATATCATCACTGATATGATTAGATCATCTATAAGTATAATTCTGATTTGTCTAAGACATTTGAATCAGTTCACTTATAGCTCAGGTAGAGATGGTCTTGATTGTAGTGTATTCTCTAAGGAGGTGGATTGTTTAATCATGAAGCTTTCATTGTCTTGCTAGACAACATCATCTATAGCAATAACTTTAGTATAAAGTAAGCTATTAGTCTGTCTCCTTGAATGATTTACCCGCTTGTTTTGACGAAGTTGTCTCTGATTGGTTGTTTCCTTTGATCATTGTATCATTCACTGACTGTAGTGAATAGTGTTGAATCAGATCATATTGCCTATACATAATAATAATAATAATAATAATATGAACATAAATTTCATTGTTATATTGGTCAGAATGCGTTCAAGTTTGTCTTTGTTATCCATTTTTATCATGTTAAAAGACTAGGTAATGATTGAAGGTGGAATGTAAATTTGAAAAAAACAAAAAAAAATCCAACCGGACTCGAACCAGCAACCATCAAGTTTTTATATCAACTCAGCTATCTTGATGCTTTATATCAACTCAGCTACAATGTTCAATTGCTGATCAGATTTTTTTTTTTAATTTTAATTCAATCACTATGAATTATACTTGAATGTCACTGGTTCGAGTCCGGTTATGGTTTAGATTTTGATTTCACTTTCAATTATTACCGAATATTCAATAGAAGGTGTGAAGTTGAAGGTGAGATGTGAATATATATATATATATATATATATATATATATATGAATGTGTAAGAACAATATTATGGATGAAGAATTCGGTTTCTTTGTATTATGATATACGGTATTTTGGAAAAATCGATTTAGAAAACAAACTGATTGAATGGGCGAAGAAATATACCTCCTTTTCAATTAAGTCCGTCTTCATGTTGGACTCTACACTACACATATAAGGGGTTGACAATTTAATCAAATTACCAATCATGTGGTGATGTTTCGGAAATAGAGTGAAATTGGAAATATGAATATTGATAGAAACAAACAAGGAGAAGGGGGAATAGGTGTACAAAGTCAACCTAGAAGTTACATCATATTGACGACCACAGTAATGAAAGTGGTGGAACAAATTTCTGTTGAATACAAAGGTTAGATGTTTTTGTAAAGATGGATTGCAATTGCCTGTGCTATATGAAGTAACCGTACACTGAGAAAGCCAATTAGGGACATCATGCGAAAGGTCAGGTACTCGAGTGGAACCCACATAGGGGAAACGACGAGTTGAGCGTCTCAGTTGAGGGTGACATGGAGAAGGAGATGGTGTGTGATTAAGAAATGAGAGCTTGTAGGCAGTTGTTGATTGAGGTTCAAATTAATTGGGATCTGATGGATGACTTTATAGGCTTTTCTAGTAACCACTTGATGTCGTGTGTCAACTAAGTGAGAGCAAGGTATGAAGCTCTTTATAGTTCTAATTTGTTCCTTGTTCAAGCATGATGGGTGGCGCTCAGAAATTCAACGATCGAACTGCCTCATTGTACACCCAATGTAACTAGTTCCACTAGAGCAGTTGAATTGATGAATGCATATAGAAGTAGCAGAATCAGGTAGTTTGTCTTCCACCTAGAATCAGGTGGTTGTAGAAGGTGGGATATAATTTAGCGTCTGGGAATGCTTTATGCAAAACTCTTTTTATGCGTTGTATGATGATCTCACTGGCGATATCACTCTTAAATTCCAGCTTCTTAGGAACTGTTGGCATTGTTGTCTTAACCCTTGTAATATCTATGTGCTTAGTTACAAATCTGTCTGGGTAGCCATTCCTACTAAGCAGATCACGGATGATGGCGCACTCTTCGTTCATAGCATCGTCTGAGCAAATAGCTGAGGCAATCCACCTTTACAAAACAGATCTAATCTTTGTATTCAAAAGAAGTTTGTCCCACCACTTTCATTACCGTGGTCGCCGATGTGATATCCGATTGTCTATTAAAGGTCGCATGGACTGCATAGTAGCAGGATGATATGAGAAGGCTTCAGGTGTTTGACCACCACTGCCTTCGAAGTATAGGTCGTATTCCGTAGTGTGTCACCACGTGAGTAACGCAGAAGCCAGGTGTAGAGTTTTAGGGAAAAGAGGTAAGTCAGTTGAACCTTCATCACTGAGATGGCTGGGTGGGACATGTGTTACTTATGCTTAGTCGGTGTCTACCTCGTCGTACAATGTTGATCGAATGAGGTTCAGGCTGGATAGAGGCCAGAGGTGGCCATACTAAAACATGGCATCAATGTATAAAGTCTTTGACTATTGGTTTGAACTATGTGGGACGATGCAGATTAGCCGGTTGAGGTCCACGGAACAAGAGGAACCAGTGGTTGGAGACTGACTATAGGCGATATGACTGAGAATCGACGTCAATTGCTCGGATGTATACATACATTATCCTCATCCTAACGACGCTATACGAAATCTCACCATTTTCTCGTTCTTTCTCTCTCTCTCTCTTTGAGTACTTTATATTTCTTTTCACTGAATGGTACTTTCTTCATCTTCAACATCGATGTGCTGATATATGAGATATAGCAACTCGAACCGTTACTCATACTGCCTAGTCCTATGTTGATTTGGATGGATGGAGTTCACCGTTTGTATTTTCATATTCACATGTGAATTTAATGTGTGAATGTATGTATATATGTACGAATGTATTATCCATATATCTGAGCCGAATATGTGGTTTGATGGTGTTTAAGAGGATCTTCGATTCAATGTAGGATATGTAAATAGGTTAGTAACGACAGGTGACACTGGAGAACCTATAGTTACTCCATTCGTTTGTTTGTAAACTTTTCCTCTTAATGTGAAGAATATCGATTTTAAACAAAACTATTCTTTTCTTTCTTTCTCTCTCTGTTTCTGTTAGTCTTTATCTGAATGGAATAAAGAACACTTTGCGTTATACAAAATATCAAATCAAGTGGAGTACGATGTTGAAGGTTAGTTTCGGCTTAAATATGTTTCATCAGTTTCCTATTCCATTATTTATTTACATTATATACATCAACTTGGTGCCACGAATGCTCAGAAGCTCTCATTTCTTCTTCACACGCCATCTTCTCTATGTCACCCTCAACAGGGACGCCCAACACGTCGTTTCCCTCATGTGGGTTCCACTCGAGTACGTGACCTGGTGCGTGATGTCCCCGAATTGTCCGCTCAGTGCATGCGCAGTCCAATCCATCTCCACTTCCACTAACTTCGCATATTTGTTGGGTGATAGGTTCTTGGTTGGTTCATTCGTCACTTGACCAGAGTTCCTTGTTGCTTGTTCTTTCTGGCTATCTGAGCTTCAGTAACGCGCCAGCGTAGGCGGCAGTTGTTGATGTATTTCTGTAGTTTGTTGGAAATCCCTTTCGTAACGCACCAAGCCTCTGAACCATATAGAACCACTAACTTGACGTTGGTGTTGAAATTCTGGATGTTGTTCACGCTTTATGCTGAGTGCAGAAGATCTCCACACCAGTTTCAGACTGATGAACGCCTGTCTTGCTTTGCCAATCCTGCCTGGCTTTGACGTCCTCGTCTGTGCCTGTATCCGCCTGGATAATAATAATTCCCTGATTTGTTGATGTATGTTTCAGCACTGGACATCTGTTTCTTTCTAGTCTGGGACTCTGCAGCAGTGCGAACCTTTTACACTCCCTCTGTATCAGGGTTCGAACCTAGAGACTAAAGGTTCCGCCGTCAGCATAGTTATCATTGAGCTAACCACTGGGTCGAAATCCAATGGTCCATATCTCCTACTTTAGTCAGTTCACGATATAACATGACCCCCATCGAGTGCCGTCGTTGAGTAACTGTACTTTCGTCCTACTTGATTGACATTCACCGGTGATAGCTTTTGTTCAAAACTTGGGGAATTATCTCTGGAAAAAACATGGCACCAATGCACGGTGTCTTTGACTGCTTGTTCGAGTCACGTGGGGTGATGTAGACTAGCTGGTTGGGATCCGAGAGACAAGAGAAACCAGTTATTGGTTGGAGACTCTAGGTGATAATGCTCAGAATCGATGTCAGTTGCGCAGATGTTTTCACACACTAACCGCCATACTTGATCACATCATTTTCTCATTTCCCCCCTTTTTTTTCCTCTTTTACTACTTTCTACTCCTTTTGACCAATTTTCCTCTTTTTCTTCATCTCTCATCTTATTGCCTTGTTACTTTGATGTGGTGATATAAATTGTGGCAGCTTCAACCATTCCGCAGTATAATACCTGGTCCTATGCTCATCTGGAAAGGCAATTTCTCATGAAAGTGAAGAAACTTAATTGTTTATTTCAATCGTTTTTACTGTGGTCTTTATGATGCATAAGCATAAGTTAAGATACTATCTTACATAGCGTCCATCGACATCAAATCGACAATGGAGAGAGAATCGTTGAAATATTGCCGTTTAATCTGTTTGGACTCTGTTCCCCGCTATTCTGTGTGCATGTGTATGTTTGCACCTTGATAAGCTAGCTGCAGAAAACAAATATCAGTGAGGCTTTCATGTGACCAACTGTAAAATTAAAGGGTCAATTCTGTATTTAGGGTAAAGATAGACGAGCATTTATCTGAACGTGACAGTGATACTCATCCTAAGGAAACGTGGTAAGATATTTAGTCTATTGTAAAGACATCCAATGCGGCTGGCCCCTGCATATCCATTCACCTGATCTCAAACAGTTACATGAAAGACGACAGTCTTTATCCGTTGTTGACAATTGCATAATGTTTTCAGATCGTGTTGTTGTTCCACCTAATCTTCGCAACTATATACTTCGTCAACTTCATTCGTCACATCCTGGCATTAGGAGAATGAAAGCAGTTGCCCAGTTGGCCCAACATTGATAAACATATCGAAGACGTCGTTCGAAAATGCAACAAATGTGCTCAGGCGTCAAAATATCCACGCAAGACAGATCTGTGCTCCTGGCCGTTACCAGAAAAACCTTGGTCCTGTGTTGGTGCATGTTGATTTTGCTGGACATACTTCTTAGTATGTGCTGATGCATATTCCAAATGGCCAGAGATTTTTTCAATGCAGTCCATCACGTCACAAGCAACAGTGAGTCAGCTTCGTCACCTATTCTGTCGTTTTGGTATTCCTGATGTTCTAGTGTCCGATAATGGATCGCAGTTTAGATCATCGGTTTTCTCAGATTTCTGCAATCAGTTCGGCATCCATTACATTCGTATCCCCTCCTTATCATCCTCAGTCTAATGGTCAAGTTGAGCGGTTCGTGGATACTTTCAAAAGAGCTTTCATGAAAGCGAAAGAGGAGGGGACGATGGATAAAATCTTGGATAACTTTTGCTGGTTTATCGCATCACACCAAATCCGTCTGCATTAAATCAATTATCTTCAGCAGTAATTATGTTTGGCCGCAAAGTCAAAATCTTCCTTGATGCAATCAAGCCTAAACAGGTAAAGGAAGGCTACAGAAATACCAAAATGGAAAGGTAGTATAATCGTTAACATACAGCTAAACGCCGAGTCTTCAAATTGCATCAGTATGTCTACGTACGCGATTTTCGTTATTCACCGCCAAGATGGACACATGAACAGATAGTGGGGCGTACAAGAAATCTGATTGGTCCATTTATGGCTTAACTTTCTGAGAGTTTTGTAATTTCATATATGTCATGTATTTGCTTAATAAAAGTCGTTGTTGTCCCTGTTCTTGCAGTCACAGGCTGTCTTCTGATTTCTCCACGGCTCAGTGAAGCAGAAGGTACTGAAGGAGGTCAGTCGTTAAGCTATTCGGTTAAGGTGTCTATTGAGTCTCGGTATCATTATACCCATGCGCGCAACCCTACCACTCGGTCTCAACATAAACACAGTTAGTTGGGTAACCTACTTAGCGAAAGCCAGTGGGTTTCTGCAACCTCATCTGTACTGATTACTTCGAGAAGACTGATTCTATCCAGTTCTGCTGATAGTGAAAAAGGAAAGCAACTCAGACGTAAACTGACTAACAGTTTGGATCACAAGCAGTAGTGTGTGAACGAAAGCGTTAGAGGTGGAGAAGGCATCAATTATTTAAGCTTATTACCATACGGGTACTAAAAAGAAGAAAACGATGTTGAGTGAAACCATCACCGAAATGGATAACACTCTAATAACCTCCAAGGACAGTTCAACTAGCTCATAGCAACATTTCAATTCCCCAGAACTCAGCTTAAACCTGCATGGGGACATATATATTAGTCCTTTAAACTGTCATCGAAGTTGAGGATGCTGTTTCTACTTTGAAATGATGACTTAACTGTTTGTCACTCAAAGTTTTAAAGGGTCTAGATAGAAAATTGCTGAATAAAGTGACGGACCTACTAAGTATTGAATGGGAATCAGACGTAGTTCCGTCACGCTAGGTTTTTTTTTACTGACCAATGTAGTCTGTATAGTAAAGGATAGAAGTCTTCCTGTGTTAACTATAGGGAATCAGTTTCACTGAGATCTTGTTCAAAATCCTGGGGACCATAGTTATCCAACATCTGACTGGGATTCGAGAAAACCTAGAATAGGGTGTATTGATGAAATGTTCACTCCCCGATAGGTTCTGGAACACACCTAGTCACCGGTCGACAGTTGTCATATTTCTCGACATGAAGGTGGTATTAGTCTCTGTAAACTGTGAGATCTTGTGACAGTGTCTTACTATGAAAGAAATGCTACTCAAGTGAATAATACTTATCCAAAGCTCTCTACCCGAAGTCACACAGTTATGTCAGGTTTTATGGTGAGTTGTCATGTGAATTGATGACAACTAGTTGTGTACACCAGACATGTCCGCTTTCATGGTTCTTATTTAACTTCATAATAGACATACCAATAAACTTTAGGTACATCTGACTTCACGGGGATTGATCTGCCATCTATAAGTTATCTAATTGACTTGAAGTATACAGATGATATTGATCTCCTGGATGAAGAATCAATTTAGGATCTTCTGGATACATTGAACAGAAATGGCTTTGATATATGTTGTGCATGCCGATCCATTACCTACTTCGATGCTCAACTCTCAGAGAAGTTAAACAAAGTTAAAAGAAGATTCAAGGTGGGCTAGACTAAGACGTGATATCAGTGCATAAACTCTCTCATTATTGATTTGGACCGTTTTGATGGTTATCGTTTTGCCTAGTTGGGCTCTGAGAGTTTAATAGGGATCAATGGTTGGTGATTTTTGGTATCATCACTCACTTGAGGTCGTCTAAAGCTTGAATATTCCTATTCACATTGATTTCCAAATTCTTTTTACTACTATATGCTTTCATGTAATTTACTATTGGGAAGTTTGACAACTTGAACTAATGCACTTGTTTGAAAGGTTCTACAATGCACCTTGTAGATCAGTTAGTCAAGCATCGAACTGGAAACCTATTGATCACTGGTTCGAATCTGGCCACATTGTTCAAATTGTTATTTCACTTTCAGTCGTTACCCAGTATAAATAGTATTCTGTCAAAACCACAGCTATATCACTTCATATATCACTTTGTTGTTTGTATGACCGATAGTATATGTTTGGTTATTATGGACAAATAATTTTTTGAGTGTGTTACAATTAACTAACTGTCACCACTATCGTTATGTATGTATGTTCCATTTTCTCCTTCTATCTGCAGATTACAGTTTCCGTTTGGAAAATTTGTTAGGTAAACAAATCAAAACTTTATCTTCATTAAGAGGTAAGTCTGAAAAATGTGTGTGTGTGTGTCTGAGTGAGTTGAGAGTGAGTTGCAGAGTGAGTGAGTGAGTGAGTTGCAGAGTGAGTTGCAGAGTGAGTGAGTGAGTGAGTGAGTGAGTGAGTGAGTGAATGAATGAGTGAGTGAGTTGCAGAGTGAGTGAGTTGCAGAGTGAGTGAGTGAGTGAGTTGCAGAGTGAGTGAGTGAGTGAGTGAGTTGCAGAGTGAGTGAGTGAGTGAGTGAGTGAGTGAGTGAGTGAGTGAGTGAGTGAGTGAGTGAGTTGCAGAGTGAGTGAGTGAGTGAGTGAGTTGCAGAGTGAGTGAGTGAGTGAGTGAGTTGCAGAGTGAGTGAGTGAGTGAGTGAGTGAGTGAGTGAGTGAGTGAGTGAGTGAGTGAGTGAGTGAGTGAGTGAGTTGCAGAGTGAGTGAGTGAGTGAGTTGCAGAGTGAGTGAGTGAGTGAGTTAATCAAGCACTTGCTTATTATATTCTCCTTTCAATTCACTGTTAGATAAAGTAACAATATGGCGGCGTGACCTACGTCAAGAAGAAGAGTTAAGCAGTAATTTGCAGAGAAATCGTAAATTATGAGAGAAAATTTATTCAAACAAACTATTTCACATCATTCTGTATGCTGTATATATACATAAATGGTAACTTTCTGTTATCATGTAGTTGTACTGCTTGATAGAGTGTCAAAGTACACATCTCTTCTCTCCATCTAAATGTATTCGTGTTTATTTGTTTGTGTTCAGCAGTACCAGCGAACTAATGTGTGTAGTATACCTTCATATCTTCTTGATTCGTTTCATTTAGCCTTTAACATTGATAACTTTCTGTGCCCCATTATACTCCGTCCCCCTTTGTTTCTTTTGTTTTTTTCTAAAAGATTTTTGCGCTTAACTTTATTAACCTTTTGCTTATGCTTACAAGAGTGTTTATTATGTGAATAAAAATTTATTATTATTATTACAGAAGAGAAGATAATGTAGAATGTGTCTTTACTTTTGTTTCAATGTATGTCTGAACTTACGATCTTTTGGGGGTGTTGATTATGGGAGGAGATGTTACAATGCTGCCGGTGTGTGTGTGTGTATCCTCTTTGGATGTCATATGTTATTGTTTTTTCCAAAGAAAATTAATTGATTAAATTGTTTTTATTCGGTCATTAATCCTCTTTAGATTATTATTATTCCAGTTGTTTGTGGGTGGGGGGGTGTTGTTGTTCCATGATATTCACCATCCTGACTCCCCGCCCACGTTCCATTTCATATACGATAAAAAGTGAAGTCAAATGATAATTTTCATTATTGGCGATAACAGGAACATTAAATGGGAAGGAGAAAGGGGGCGGGGGGGGGGTAATTCCTCTTCTGTGACCTTCGATCTTCCTCTCTGTAACGCGGTGCATTTGTTTAACTTCTGTTTATGTATGAGTAAACGAACAAGCGAGTTAATTAGCCAGTAGACTGGTGTATTCACTTATCTTACTCTCAGTATTATTGACATCATTCCCCCTAATCTGTTTGCTTTCCCTTCTTAATGAATATGTAAAAAAAGAAAAGGAAAAAAAAAGTAAATCATGTCGAAGAAGAAAGAAAAATGTGCAAAAATGTTTCAAGTTTTTTGATTTCGTATTGTTTTGTTTTGTTGTTTCTCTGTTTATGAGTACATTTTCAATTTTGTTTTGTTTTATGGTTGTTATTGTTGTTATAAGCCAGATAGATGTTAAATGAACCTCTTTTTCTTCTCTTCTGTACTCTTAAGTTGGAGATAGAAGAGAAGAGTATTTTTCCTATATGATTATTATGTTGTGCATCTTTCTTCTGAAATTTTATTCTCTTCAGAGTGAATACCCTAATGATAAGTATTACTGATGCTAAAAAGGAAAATAAACAGTAAATTATTAATTATTATTTATCCCTTGGGTTCCTGGTGGAACATACGGCTTTAGTAGTACGCCTCCATTCCACTCTCTTCTGCGCAGTATTTTCAACCTGGTGCCACGAATGCTCACATACCATCTCCTCCATGTCACCCTCAACTGAGACGCCCAACTCATCGTTTCCCTTATGTGGGTTCCACTCGAGTAGGTGACCTGGCACGTGATATCCCCGAATTGTCAGCTTAGTGTATGTCCAATCCAATCCATCTCTACTTCCTTCTGCATATTTGTTGGGTGATAGGTTCTTGCTTCATTCGTTCCTCACTTGGCCAGAGTTCCTTGTTGTTTATTCTTATTATTCTCGCCATCTGAGCTTCAGTATCGAGTCAGCGTAGACGGCAGTTGTTGATGAATATATGTAGTTTGTTGGAAATGCTTTTCGTAAGGTACCAAGTCTCTTAACCATATAGAAGCACTGACTTGACATGATGATAAATATTACAAGATTATTATTCGAAAAAGGGGAAGGGAAGTTTCTCCGTTTCTCTCATAAGCGGAAAATCTTTCTAATTGATATTGTTTTTGTTATCGTCGGAGTTCTTATTCTCACTTTTGTAAACTTGTGACTTCACTTCTTGGAGGTTATCTAGTTGACTCAAAGTGTTCAAATGATATTGTCCGGTTGGCTTAGGTGAACAAGCTGATGCATTTAATGGTCATCTAGAGACCTGTCAGATGTAAGATGATGATGCTGTAAGACTGGTTTGCATATACTCCCGGTTTAATGATAAGGAATGAAAAGGTGGGATATGTCAACTACTTCACTTATTTCTCGGAGTTACTGACGAAGTCTCATATAGGATGCGGAAGGCGTCTTTGGCACTTGCCAACTTGCATGGTGTCCATTGTTCGAGATATTTGATTGTCTATGAAATTATAAGTGTACTGCTCTACCAGTCCATTCTGTTCTGTTCTATGGCTTTGAAAAAGGGTTTTGATCAGAAATGTGTTCATGGTGTCGCTCGCGTTTAGTCAAATTCAGTGTGTGAACACTGTAGAAGTCGGGTGAAGGGTACTATGGAAGGCTACCAAGTAGATTCATGAGATTGTGAAGCTTAGTCGACTGAGATGGTTTGGGTATGTAATGCGCATACTGAATCACCGCCTTCTTCAGTGTGCCATGTTAGGGGGAGTTGTATAAGGCTGCAAGACGGATCATGGTAGCTAGACCAAGCAAGACATGGTATCAGTATATGAAGTCTCCTACTGTCGGCCTGAGCCTTACGATGTGGTGTAGACTGCATGATTGGGGTCCCGGAGATGAGAAGAATCAGTCGCAGTGGGGCGAATGTATTCACTCCTTGAAATCCAAAGCTTGAATATTTGCACTGACCGCTATCTTCAGCTTGTTCATTCTGTCTCACAACTTTGTGTAGTTTGGTATGAGTCCTTTATTATCCACCGTTCTTTCTATTACTACTTTGAAATATGGCAACTTGAGTTAATCCACCGGTGTGGGAGGTTCTACGTTGGTTGTGTCAATCAGTCATGCACTCCTACTAATGGAAATGACCTTAAAGTCCCTGGTATCTTTCCTTACCACCGAAGCGGGGACGGCATCTGGTTTCCGACCTAGTTTATCATCCACTTAGGCTAGTCGTATCTCACACTCATTGTTCTACTGAGTTCCGTCACACTACAGTGAGACGACGGCTAACAGACATTTCTACCTCCCTCGCTAGCAGACGATTGACCAGATTAAGGAATCTGTTGGTGTCCGCTTCCGAAGCCAGTTGCTGTGATTAGGAGGGATGATACAAGCTTCATCGCCTTGACTGCTTAGTAACGGCTACTATCAAGTTCATGAGGTTATCTAGCGACCAATTTAAGATGGATTGTTCCTCATCCATGCGCAAACTTCATGATTATCTAAGAATTAAGGATTTACCACCCAGAGACACCTTCAGTGATCTGCAAAATAGGGAACAAAGTGACAGATCTATGTACACATAAGAGATACCTCATCAAGGGATGACCACTTCAGAAAGCTTTTGAATCGACTACCACCTGCACTTCGTCAGGAAATACCACCTGCAGCCACAGAACCACAAGTGAACACATCCTCCGACGAAAGTCGAAGTCCTGAACGCCATAAAGCTACTGAAATCCGGGAAAGCAACCGGAGTCCTACCAGAAGCACTTAGAACATACACAGGAACAACAACGGACATGCTCACACAACTATTGCAGAAGGTCTGGAAGGAAGGGAAGGTACCTGCCCATTGATTGTAAGAAGGGCTACCTTGTCAAACTCCATAAGAAGGGCGACCTAAGTGTTTGCAAGAACTGGCGCGGAATCATGCTCCTGATCACACCAAGCAAAATATTGGCCGCATCATCCTGGAGAGACTAAAGGATGCACTGGATTCAAAGCTACAACCTGAACAGGCCGGATTTAGGAAGTATAAATCATGTGTGGATCAAATTGCAACGCTACACAACATCATAGAACAGAGCATAGAGTGGCAGTGAACTCTACTTCAACTTCATCGATTTTGAAAAGGCCGGCCTTCGACAGCAGCGACCGAGGAGTAATTTGGCAGTTGCTCCAACACTATGGAATACCACAAACCTTTTATCAACCCCATTGAACAACTATATGACGATACCACATGCCAAGTGATTCACAATGGGAAGCTGAGTGATGCCTTTGAAGTGAAGACAGAGGGGAGTAAGACAAGGCTGCCGCCTACTATCTATCACTTATGATCTTCCTGATTGTGGTGGACTGGATCATGCAACGAACAGTGAGGAGCGAGTAGAGTGATATACGCTAGACCGATGAAAAGAGGTTAGGATGTTTTGATTTCGCCAGTGATGATGATTTATGTTTAATGTTGCACAAACTCTAAGATGTACAGGCGAAAAGTGACAAGTTGACAGAAGAGTCTAGGTGAGGCAGCGAAGACGGTACTTCAAGTGAATGTAGAGAAAACGGAGATGATGATGATGATGATACCCAACCAACGCTACCAACAACAATAACAAGCTGCAATCAGCATCAACGGGAGAAACTTACAGGGAAGTAGTCATTTTCACCTATCTAGGCGGCATCGTTTCAACAGTAGGCAAAAGAGACTAGGACGTCAAAGCCATGCAGGATCGGCAAAGCAAGACAGGCTTTCACTAATCTGAAATCAATGTGAAGATCCACTGACTCAATACAAAGCGTGAACAACATCCGGAGATTCAACACCAATCCAGTCAATTCAGTGCTGCTATGTGATGGTTCAGAAAATTGTCGTGTCACGAAAAGCACTTCTAACAATCTACACATATTCATCAACAGCTGCCGCCTACGCTCGCTCGATACTGGAGACCAGATGGCCAGAAAGAATAAGTAACAAGGAACTCTGGCCAAGTGATGAACGAACGAAGCAAGAACCTATCACCCAACAAATATGCAATGGAAGGAAGTGTCGATGGATTGGGAATACACTGAGAAGGCCAACTGCAAACATCACGCGCCAGGCCACGTACTCGAGTGGAACCCATATGGGGGAAACGACGAGTTTGTGGTCCCTGTTGAGGGTGACATGGAGAAGGAGATGGTGTGTGACGAAGAAATGAGAGTTTGTGGTCAGTGATAGAGCCAGGTTGAAAAGATTGGAGTGAAGAGAGTGGAATGGAGACGTTCTACTGAAGT